GGTCATAGCAATCTGAGACCAGAGCCTGAGCACTGAGCTCTGCCTCCTGTACTCTTTCGCTGCTTTTGGAGTGTTCTGATTTTATTGTTTTCACTTTTACATGTAGATCTTTGATCTATTTCAAATTAATTTCATTTAGATGGATACGTAGTTCCAGTGCCATTCAATGAGAAGATTTGGGCCCATTCATCATATAAAAGAGTAGCAAGCTCTTGGAGTAACACTGGAATGAATATCACCAAGTCACCTATTTCCGTCCCTTTCTTTTTCCTACTCCCTGACTTCCTCTCCTTGACTGCTGTGGCATCACACTGGGCAGCTAACACAGGTTTGATAAGCCTTTGTCACCTGATGTTCATGCTGTTTTCAGAACATCCTGGGAGTATTATTTCTGAGTTTCTACCTTTCTCATTTTAAGACTAGCAGGTGTTCTTCTAGACCATCCACTTCCTCCTTTGCACACACGTTGGTGTGCTGCACTGTAGAAGCCCCACTTCTGGGTTTAATTTATACAAGCTCCTAATTGGCAGTGCTGACACTGAAGTCTAATAATTGTTTTTAGTTGGAAGGGATGATGCCAGCACACACTGAGTGGGGCTTTCTAAAGCCATTCCCTCACTCCACAGACATTCACAGTGTTTGGGAGTGGGGTCTTTTTCCCCTCCTGCATCTCCCCCCACCCATTCTGTGGCTGGCTAACTTCGTGGTAAACTTATAACCCAATATCTACAATCAGAGCTTCACTGACAACTGGGGCCATGCCCTGAAACTGGGAACATCTAATACCCTCAGCCTTATGTGGGTGCAGGAGAACTGCCTGGGAAAATCGCTCCTTGTCTTTCTTCGAGCCCTCCCCTCTCTTGTTCTGTGCCTGTCTTCTATCCCAATTTTTAAAAACTTTGTAGAAAAAACTCTTATACACGGATAATCTCTAGATTGTTAAAACATATCTAATTCCTCTCTAATGGAAATATTGATGTGAAGCCTGCTTAAAGAGTTGGGTGCCAGTTGTTTTTAACTAATATAGTAATAGGCAAAGTGCAGGTCAGAGGCTGGGTTCGCAAGGCTCCCTTGACCTCAGGGCCCACGGTCGTGTGTAGTATGGGGGTAAGTGTTCAATATGTGTTTGTTAAACTTAAGTGAATTGCCAATTCTCATATTTTTTCTGGGGATTTTTTTAAAGCTTCTGTTTCTTAAACATACATGAATTATTTTTTCTGTGATGGTTTATTTGGGTATAGACTTTTGAAATGTCCACATCCTGCTTAGAATTTCACATTTGGTGGCATTGGTTTATAGTTTATTGTATTCCATATATAGATTGATGGAAAAAACGTTCCCAGAATAATAGTGACCATATTTTTCAACTTTAAAATAAAGGATACATTTATTTTCACACACTTTCTAGGTGTAGGAGACAGGTTATGAGATGTAGTTTGTATTTATAGATGTTCGTATCTGAAATGTATTCTAACGCTTACATGAGTAATAGGACATAATATCTGAAATTGTGCCTGTCCTGGAAAATCTGGGATGTGTGGTCAACATGCAGCAGAGTTTCCAAACTTACTAAAACAAAACAAAAAATTAAAGCTCATCTTTCCAAATGCACTTTCCAAGTTCTTTCTTCCACCACTATGCCAGATGATAGCAAAATGGCCTCAATTATACAGTGTGGCTTTGGATGATTCTTTCTTTTTGGATTTAGACAGAACTAATCTTTATTCCAGATGAAGTGTCTAATTCTTTTTAAACATGTATCAAATTCCTCATGTAACCATCCCTTTTCTCTTCATCTCCCATTTGGTGGAGCTGGTCCAGGATGACCAGAAATCCCAAGTCCTCGGCATGATCAGAATTGCTAATCCCACTCCTGTAAAATTCATTCAGTATTGAAAATCCTTTAAATGAAATAACTTGATCATTCGTACATCACCTCTCACTAAGCACCTTAAGTCCTTATGTTTTCAGAAAGTTCCTGAATAGTCTTGACCTTGTAATGGATTTGTCAACAGTAACAAGAGTCAATTTTGAATACAAAATGTACCGAGATCTGGGCAAGATAGCAGGGCTACAGAGAAAGCCCTTAGGATCCCTGCCCTCAAGGGCTTACATGGTGGAGTGGGGAGAGAGTGGTTGGTCAGGCCACTGTAATGTATGTGAGCAGTAAGAGGACGGCACAGGTGAGGAGAGTTGTGGGACCACAAAGGCAGGTCTTGAAACCCAGACTTTGGGAGGGGAGGGAAAAGTGTGCTAGACGATGTAGTATTTAGGCTGATACTTGAAGAAGGATTTAGCTAGCCAGTCAGACTAGTGAATTACATCTGTAACACACCATTGTGGAGCCCCCCAGAACTGACAGGCTTATTTTTTTCCCCAGAAGCTACATTACAATGTAGCATTTCAAAAACAGATTCCATCATTAGGATTGCTAAAGTTTTTGTGCTACCTGTCTCTCTCTATACAACACACTACGTTGTGGATTGTTTCTTCAAAAAAATTTTTTACTTTGTTTATAAACATTCTTTGAAGAGTTTGAACACGCAATTTTATCTATCTATAGCAAATTTCAGTTTGACTGAATCGAACTAAAACTGATAGAGAATTGTTTTCCGTTTTCTGGGTTATTGCCATTTTAAATGCCGGATGAATTATGAGTGAAAGGTTCCAGAAGCTGATGTGTTCATCCAGCCTTTCAGTTTCTTAATTAGTGATTCTCTCAATAAGTCTACACTCTCACAAGAAGAAAATGAGCATGCTAAATGAAAGGCTGGTTAAGTTACTGGAGATTGTTTTGACCACATTCTATCTTAAAATTTGGACTGTCCAAGGTTTCATAGTCAAAGACTTAATTTTAAATGTCGGGAGGTTTATACATAAAACATGAATGAGTATTTGAGACATTTATATTAAGGCTGGAGAGAATTAATTTGAATTATTTGGCATAAATCTGCTGTTAGAGAAGCAGCAAAATATGGCCCAACACAAAAAGAGGACTTTGTTTAATTCCCTGTGAAATTTCATTTGTTTACTTCAGCATTTTTTAAATTATCTGACTCTTAGTTGGTTCTTTAATGTATTTCCAAGATTTTTATTTACTCTCTGCAGTTAAAAACTTGCAATTTGTTTTGGCAGATGGAGACATACAGAAAATACCTTGGTTACGCATTTGTTTTCTTGAAAAAAAAAATCATGATTTTATTATTTTTCTTAGTCCCAGTTTCAATTATTTTGTGTTCACTAGGATAACAAATTCATAAAATGTGGTCTCCTTACTTGCTTGCCAGTGAGGGGCATAAAGAATGGAACTGCTCATCCTTTGTCACAGCAATGAATTCTTGCAGTGGAGTTGTAATCGAAAATTCTTTCCCTGCCCACTGCCAACATTAATGCTTCTGAGCTGTCCTTGTTTAATCGCCTGCTGCCCCGATTTCCCATTTACTAACCCTCAACAGCATCTGACCTTCTGTAAGAGGTAAATACCCCTTACTCAGAAAGAGATTTCTTGAACCCAGGATCAGAGAGAAATCGATACAGCCTAATCAAATCTTTCTATAATAAGACTGAAATGTGAATTCCTTTTTAAAATTTTTTTAAATATGAAAAATAGTAAATCTCCCTCTTGGGAATTGTAAAGCAAGATCTCTCACGGGCCTTCCGTTTCCTAATTTTTGGTACATAAATACTTTTAGGTGGATGTGACCATTTTCTTTTCATAGTCATGCTTTTATTTTAATGTACATTAGAAACACATCTAGCAAAATGATGACACAAAGTTTTTTATTTTTATTTAACGTAAGTACAATGTGAGCCAATTTAAAATATAAAAAAACAGTTTATAAAATATGCAGGTATGGCAAAACAACTGTGAGGATGATGTGCAAATGACTAAAGTTAACGAGAATGTGGAAATCAGACATACGGTGAAAAGTTGCACAAATGTGCACCAGGGGAATTTGGAAACAAGAGAACTTGGAAATAGACGAATACAGAAACAGAAACCTGTTTAAATTATGCTTATTACAAACTTGGACTTTTCCTCGATTGAAAATCTACATGTCCAACACACAGATTCTCATCTGTCCCCCCGCTGAGACATCCCTGACGGCCCTCGTGGGCACCATGTGTTTTCGTGGAGACGCACAGCTCCCGTGCCAACCCCACCTCTTTCTCTGCCACTCCAGAAAGTATTTTACAAGGGAAGCAAATTGGAAATAGCATAATAAGAATAACTTTTACTCCACTCTAATTCATTTTTTAAAAGTAAATTATCTACAGATGAGTTTTTTTAATTAGCTTAAAACAAAACCAGAAAAAACCTTCTACTAACAATTTTCAGCACCCCCGTGATTGATTCCCACTTGCCAGAGTATCAGTGTGCTTGAGAAACTGTGGCCTCGCCACTGGTTTTGGCCTCAGGTACCCTGTGGTAGAGACCCTTGTTGGGGCATCTGTGCTTTGGAGCCTGTTTTCCTTGTTCTCTTCTGATCTAATGATGTCCCCTTTTCTCACATATAGACCGTAGGGCGAGAACTGTTGCTCCATTTAATTGACTATCTCGTAACCAGCGATGGAAAAGACCTTGAAATCACAAATTTAATCAATAGCACCCGGATACACATCATGCCTTCAATGAACCCAGATGGATTTGAAAATGTCAAAAAGCCTGACTGTTTTTACAGTAACGGAAGGTAATAATGGGCTAGTCGATCCTTATTTAAAACATAACAAAATAACGAACAGGCTCCCATCAGCATACCCCTTGGCCCTGTCCCAAGGAGTTAGTGAACCACCTCATAGCCTATGTCCTGTCATTGCTGTGCTGAAAAGTCCTCAGGGCCGCTTGCCCATTGCTTTGAGGATGAAAAGCAAAATCTTGAATAAGGCTGCTTTACTTCTGTGCCCACCTTACTGCTTCATTTGCCACTCCCCCTTACCTTCTCTCCCCTCCCCTGCTTCAGCCACTCTGACCCTCCTTCATCTCCTGGAACTACAGGTTCTTTCTCACCTCAGGCCTTCTGCACAACCAATTTCCCATTTCTCTCCCCTCCCACTGCTCAGCCTTTCCTCAAAGACTCTTTCTCTAATCTGTCATATATTAGGTTCCCGATTGTACTCTCATCACCTAGCACTTCACCTTCATAGCACAATGTTTAATGTCTAATTTCTTGTTTAATGTCTAAACTATAAGCTACCAGAGTCTTGTCCATTTTGTTTGTCATTTTTAAGTCCCCAGGGCCTAGCATAGTCCCTAGGCCCTCAATAGTTACCACTTGATTTATTAAGCAAGTACAAGAACTAACCCAAAAGAAGAGCGAGTCTTAAAGTATTTCTGATTTTTAAACAGTTTATTTTGTTTCAAGCTGCCTCAGGAAGTTTGGCATTTCTCAGATGTCTAATATATATTTATATTTGTGCGACTAAAAATTTGTTTGCTTTTACCAAAAATAAAATCTCACCACTTGATCCCCTTCAAGTGTTTGTAGCATATTTAAACATGGTCGGTCCACTTTTCAGAAATACATTTGTATAAAGTAGCACACTCCTGTTGTTTCTGTTATCAAATGCTATGTAAAAAGCCACCCCAAAAGTTAGGGACTTAAAACAACCACCTCTGTATTTACTCTCAATTCTGTAAATTGGGAACTCAGGCAGGGCAGGGCAGGGCAGGGCAGGGATGGCTAATCTCTGTGCTGTATCTGGGGCCTCAGCTAGGGTCTGGCTGAAACAGCTAGTGTGGAACCATGTCTGGAGTCTCAGTCCGGCTGTCACCTGGGTTCCCCATTTCTCCATGTGGACTGTCCACATGGCTAGCACTGGGATCTCAGGGTTCCATAAGGGACTGTTCCAAAAGCAAAAGCCCCCAAATGCAAAACACTTATCAAACCTCTGTTCACATCACAATAGCCATTGTCCCATTGGTGAGAGCAAGTCGCACAGGTGGGGACTACACGCTGCGTGAATGTCAAATGTGGTTCATTGGCAGCTGCCAAGGCAAACGTCCACCACCCTGTATTCATATTTAGAAACACCTGGAGCCCAAACCAAAGGTCCTCACACTGTATGAGTCCACATCCTCACATATCACCAGCGAACCCTAAAAACTTCTATCTTTTAAAGGGAAAATGATAACTTCTATGACCTGAACAGAAATTTCCCCGATGCGTTTGAGTTTAATAATGAAACAAGGCAGCCTGAAACTGTGGCAGTCATGGAGTGGCTGAAAACGGAGACATTTGTTCTCTCTGCAAACCTCCACGGCGGTGCCCTGGTGGCCAGTTACCCATTCGATAACGGCATTCCAGGTAAGCAAACATGGACCCCACTCTGGCTTCTAAGTCCAGAGTGCGACTGCAAACTCTGCCTCTGAATGGGGATAAACTCGTCTACTCTCTACTCAACTTATCCGAAAGGGCTTCATTTTCTCAACCCTGAGCCATCCTTCCTACCATTCACAAATAGTAGATGGGAAACATGACTGAGCTGACAAGCAACAACAGGATTACTTGACATTCATCAGTGAAATAGTAAAACTGGGATTTAGATTATCTCACAAGAGGCAACGTGGCTAAAAGAAAATAAAACTAGAACTTATCTTTCTTTGCTAATCATATGAGTAATCAATAACTGCTGACTCCTAAAACTGTGAGACGACGTATTTACCAAGGACTTAAAATATTATAGTAGTTTCATTTAACCCTTGTAGTACCTAAGGAAAGTTTATCATCCTCCAGAAATTAGCAAGAGTGACTAAGATAATATTTAACTTTTAAGCTGATTTAGGAGGAGCCTGGATATGTATATGGCCTATTTCGTGTGATGTCACCTTGTGTACGTTCATTAAAAACCAGGAAGAAGAGTAGAGGGAGCATTCGTGGAAGTGGGTAGAAGATTTCTCTCTAGGAAATTAAAGACTTTGTGTGTGATGTGATGATGTATTTGCTAATATGGTATCGTGTGCTTCCTCTTACTCTAACACCAACTGGAAGGTCTTGGTTTGTCTTTCACATACAGCAACTGGGACATTACACTACCGGAGCTTAACCCCCGATGATGATGTTTTTCAATATCTTGCAAATACCTACGCTTCGAGAAATCCCAACATGAAAGGAGATCAGTGTAAAAGTAAAATGAACTTTCCCAATGGAATTACGAATGGATACTCTTGGTATCCGCTCAAAGGTGAGTTGCTCTTCATTTCTACTATTCTTCTTATTGCCTGCACCCAGAGGTGACAGCTTGACAGCTGGTTTTTCTTGACCCCAGCAGTTGTCAAAAAGTTTATTAGGCACTGTGCAGTCCCTTCCATCGTGTCTCTGTCAGCTAATATCACAAGAACAGCGGGGGCGACTAATCGTTTGAGAGAAGCTCAGACATGTTCCTCACTGCCAAGGCGGCCTTCATTCACTCAGATGCTTGTTCAGCATTTTCCTACGAGTCAGTACTGTGCCAAAAAAGATGAACAGGACACAGATTTAACCCCAAGTTTAATAAGGAAGAGCAATGTGCAAATAAATCATTTTGATAGCAGTATAATTAGAATAAAAATAGAAATTCAGAAAAGGTACAGTGTACCAGAGGTATAAAGCCAAAATACAATGGGGAGTGGTGAAGATTGTGGAAAAATTTAATGTTTATGTCTCATCTAATGGGGACAGCTGCTCCTTCAATCCAGTTCATTATTGCCATGCGGCAGTGAGCAGGTCACAATATTGGTGCATCTTCCAGTTTGTAAAACAAGCTGGATTTATCCAATGAAGTCTCATGACTTTAAAGCCACATTGCTGGCTAAACAAAAGAGCTCTTCAGGCTGGATATAGTGTGTGGGGGCCTCCAGTTTTCCAGGAACAGGATGGCCAGGTGAGGGAGGTGGGTGTGAGGTGGGCGGGATGTTCTTATCAGAAGGAATGATATAAGCAGAAGCCCAAAGGTGTCAGAGAACTCATCCTAAAATAGGAACTGAGAGGTAATAGGAGAGACCTAGGATGGAAGGGTGAGGAAAGACAGTGGGCTGGAACCAGGAAAGTGTCCCCTTTGAGACTGTTCAGCCTGATCCTAACAACAGCAAGCTGCAGGCTACATTTCTGCATACAAGCCACTTCTCCAGTTGTCACACTGGATGCATAGGCTACCAAGTAGTCTTGCGCAAGCTGTTACTTTTGTATCTGGGCGGCTTTCTGCCAGCTTTCCAGGTAATATAAATAAGCACAGACTGCAACTGATAGGCAGCAGGGCCAGCTAGGTACCACAACATCCCAAACTTTTCTCTGCTGTCCTAGATCCAGCCTCCCCACATCCACCTCAGGGCTCCAGTCTAGTCTCTGCTCATCACTCTTCATCGGGAGGAAAGGGCCCCCTCCTGCCCAGTGGCAGAGCTGTCCTTCATGTGCACTGTGTATAACTTTTAAGACAGATCCAGATGTGTGGGAAATGAGCTAGGAATCCAGTCTTGCTGTCAGGAATTGTTTCCAAGTGTGCCTGCTTGTAAGCTGTGTATCCTTCTGAGGAAAAAAAAAAAAAAAGCAGACAGACAGCTATTTTGAAGAGCTTAAAACAAGTCATTCTGGCTCATCCTGGAGGTTCTGTCAGCTGAGACTGACTGGCCTTATCCAGAGCTGCGCACACTCTCCACACTTGGTATTCTCCGTCCTGCATGCTTTGCACACCTGCTTTGCCATTTAAATTCCTTCTACCTGAGACAGTCATCCTGCCAAGGGCTTTTGTTTTGTTTCTCTCACCACTCTTTCTCTCTTCTATTTCATGGTGAAAATGAGGTCAGAGAGAAAAATAAAACTCTTACAAGTAACAGAAAGGACAGAAATTCCTCCCTGGCTGGCATCTGGACCTACATAGATACTATTTACTATTTTGATATAATATTTTGACTATTTTCTTAACATAAAATTTTTTCTACTTTAGTACTTCCCAGATACTCTGATGGAGTTGGGAATATTTTATTGGGCAGATATCAAGTATAACAAATTAAAACCTGGCAGAAACTACTACTTTCAAAGTTACTATATTTCATCAAACTCAAGATGGCATTGATTATAAAATACAATGTACTACCAAGAAAGAAAAAAGGTTTCCAGCCAATCTAATGACATTTTTCAGCTGTCAAATTTAAGATACATCCCAATTCAGAGATTTTAAAATGTGAAAAGTTTTGCATTTTAGAAAATATGAAATATGATTATAAGCCTTTGAAAACAGGGTCTCTGGAGGTAAGAACTGGAAAGTAAGCTTGGGCAGTGGCAACCCCAGAAGCAGCAGGGGTTGGGCCTTCCCCCCCCGAGAGGCAGCACGGCAGCCTTTCCTTCCTCCCCAGAAGCAGTTTAGTGTCACAGGTAAGAGCACAGGGGCTGGGGCAGGAGCCCATGCTCTAGTCTGTCATCTGCTGGCTAGAATCCCTGGGCATGTTACTTACCATCTGTGATTAGGTTTCTTCAACTGTAAAATACAGGTAATAATTGCTGTGTGGCTTTAATGAGTTGATACAAAGTTCTTCGAACAGTACCTAGCAATAGTGAACACTCAGTAAATGTTGGCCATTATTATTCTTCCAAAGTAATATACTTAGCTTTACATAGTAAATGTATTTATAAATGATTTGTAGGAAAATTTTTAAAGAAATCTCACTGTAGTTTACATCAGTTTAAAATGTAATTTATGGAAGAAATATAATTGAAGAATTGTTTTTTGTAATGTATGATTACAAAATAAGACCCTTCCTCTACCCCTCACTTAATTCTAAGGCACAACTCAACTTCAATCAGCCATGATCCAGTTACCCATATGGGAATGTTTAGGATTGCCTGGTCATGCCTGGGTAATAAAATGTCAAGCCCTGATTTTATATGTTAATATGTCAAATTCATCTTTTCCTGTTTACATATATTTTCCTTGCAACTGTCTTCATTTGTCTTTAAGGTCCATGACACTTGGCTCGACTCCAATTTTAGACCCTAAAAAATATTAAATATGCTTTTATTTAGGTGGGATGCAAGATTACAACTACGTCTGGGCCCAGTGTTTTGAAATCACGTTGGAGCTGTCGTGCTGTAAATATCCTCGCGAGGAGAAGCTTCCATCCTTCTGGAATCATAATAAAGCCTCGTTGATTGAATATATGAAACAGGTGCACCTAGGTTTGTAAAGGTTTCTTATTAATTTGTTAACACAAAATATAGCATCTGGCAGAACCTTAGGGTCAAGAAAATGCAAGCCCCTATTTGTGTCTTCTAGGTATGGCCTCATTTTCAGTACCAGAACTAATGGTTAAGAATTCTCTGTGAATGAATATCTGCAGCATGTGATATTCAGTGCCCATCAGTTCACATAAGGGAAAGTATGATGGGTGTTACTTTAATTTGGTGGTGTAAAATCCAGAGTACTTCTAATTTTACATGTCGCATGACCTGAAAATCTGGCAAAAGAACAGGAAAACAGGTTATTACTATTACATCATTACTGATCACCCAGCTAGAAAAAGAGCCAAGTTCGCTTGTCATGTGCCACAAAATATCAAAGACTCAGAGAATATTGGACGTGCCATTTTGCATTTTTTCTAGAACTGGGGTAGTGACCTAGCACCGTTAGCTTTAACCTCTCCCACCCTTCGACTCTGCCAAATGACCTGGCACTGGGAAGCTTCCCAACCTGTTTTTTGATGGTTGGCTGGCTTTCATCACAGATGAACAGGCTAAATGTGGCAAGAGCGGTAGTTCTCAAACATGTGCAGTGGACTCACTGGGAGGGTTTGTTAAAACACGGATTGCCAAGTCCGACCCGAGAGTTTGATTTAGTGGGTCCTTGTATGGTTAACATCTTCCCAGGTGATGCTGATGCTGCTGTTCCAGGGCTCTGAAAACCACTGCACTAGAGGAACACCCTGCTGATAATGATGGTGGAATCACACACAGTTCAAGTTTATTTAATCAGTCTGTGTCTCTTTGGGCAGGCTCTTCTCCATTGCCAGATTTAAAGTTATTTTTCTCCATTCAGAATGGCTTGGGAGAAGAAACACATTAGGGATTGGCATAATAGTTATGGTACTACATCAAACCAAAGTAGAGGGTCTGTGTTTAAGAGGTTTGCGTCATAGGCCTGATGCATAATTGTAATTTTCTGTATGCTTCATGCTTCACACCAACGCTTTCTACCTGCTAAAAAGAGATGGAGATGGCCGAAGGAGGGAAAAGTCAGAAGCACAGGGGTACAGGGCTCAGAACAAGGACAATTAAGAGCTTCCCTTGGCCACACTTCCCCCAAATGGATGCCCCTCCCACTTTCATACCTTTATTCCCAGCCCCATGCCCCTACCCCAGCATAAGCATGCACAGATTATTAGTGAACTCACAGGGCTAAGACATACAATGGGGTGAGGTGGATTCCCTGTGATGGCAGATGTTACAAAATGTCATCTTTTTCACCAACATCTTAATAACATTTATTAAGCTTATTATTGGGTCTGTCTCCTTTCTAATTATGTCATCAAACTTTGTTCTCAGTCTTCTGGTTTCATATTCTGGTATTTGTCCATGAGATTTTCCTCATGAGGCACATAATAATTTAGCCTCCCTATTGTATTTCTACCTACATTGATCCTTTAGTGTGTTACTCTATTTTCTAAAATTCCTCTTTCAGCAGCATCAACATGGGAGGGCAACTGAACATGAAATATGCTCCAAGTAACTACACTACTATTTTCAGAATTTCAATCTACCTCTAAAGGTTTTCTGCCAAGCACTGAATTAAGACAGGCTCTGAAGTGCCATGCTGATATAATACTGACAGTGAAGAAGCTTTGTGCCATGCTGATATAATACTGACAGTGAAGAAGCTTTAAATAACATACAAATTACAGCATAACTCTTGTTATTATTAATTTGAAAGGCTTACAAGTCTATTTACACTAGGTTTTATAAAGAATATCTATCTGCCTGTCTCTATAATCAGATGTGCACAAGTCACTTAAAAATATATACATTAGCACATCAACCCTGCCCTCTTGTGGTTTAAAACAGGCATTTGTTTTTCTAGTTTTATCATGAAACCTTATTTCGAAATGCTGATAGAGTGTAGTTATTATTACTTGACAGAAAGGTTCTCTTCATATTGGTGCCCAGTAAGAAGCCAAAGAATAGCTGTGTTTGTAGGTGATGGGAGCAAATACCTCCTTATTGATATCATTCTGGTTTAAGAAAATTATTGCTATTTGTCAAGCTGCATCACATTATCTGGTCCAGTTTTACCACTTGCTAAAGATGCCTCTGAGTCTCTGAAATTTTGACCCATCTTTAAGTCTCTAGTCTATCTTGTCTGGGAAGGAAAGGCCTCCTGCTCTAATCCATCGCTCCAGGGCTCGGTGCAGTTGGAACAGATAGAAATGCCCACCTCCAGGTCTTCCCCTGAAAGAGGTATTTGCATATTTTAAAAGCTGCTGCCTTAAGTTCTGGCTTCTCATCAGCCTGAATCTAGGTACTGACTGAGATCCTCCCCTTTGGGACACTGACAGGTCTTGGCACACCCTTGACTACTGGGAGCCACTAAGAATAAAGTAGACTGCTTGGACAATCAATCACAAAGATTTGAGAGGCAACCAAGAGCTAGGGCAGGGTTGAACAATAAGATTCATCTCCTATACAAGGCCACTCCTTCAAGACTGGGAGAGGTGATTGTTTAATGCATGGAAACCAACACAGAGTAAAATAAAATGAAGAAATAAAGGAATATGTTCCAAACAAAAAGAAAGATAAAACCTCAGAAAAATAACTTAATGAAATGGAGGTAAGTGATTTACTTGATAGAGTTCAAAACAATGACCAATGCATGAACAAAATGAGAATTTCAGCAGAGAGAAGGAAAATATTAGACAGCACCAAAAAGAAGTCATGGAGCTGAAGAATACAACAGAACTGAAAACTACAATAGAGGGGCTCACTAACAGACTAGATGAAGTAGAAGAAAAGATCCATGAACTCAAAAACAGGACAATGGAACTCATCTAATCACAGCAGCAAAAAGAAAAAAGAATGAAAGAGAGTGAAGATAGCTGAAGGGACTTACAGAACAACATCAAGCAGACCAACATTTAGGGGTCTCAGAAGGAGGAGAGAGAAAGCGCAGAAAACTTATTTCTAGAAATAATGGCTAAAAAGTTCCATAAGCTGAGGAAAGATACAGACATCTAAATCCAGGAAGCCCAGAGAGTTCCAAATGAGATGAATCCAAAGAGGCCCACACCAAGACACATTGTAATTAAAGTGTCAGAAGTTAAAAGAGAAAATCTTAAAAGCAGCAAGAGAAAAACAACTTGTTACCTACCTACAAGAGAACCCCCATAAAATTATTAGCATACATTTTAACAGAAACTTTGCAGGCCAGAAGGGAGTTGCATGACATATTCAAAGTGCTGAAAGAAAAGAAATGCCAACCAAGAATATTCTACCTGGTAAAGTTGTCCTTCAGAATTGATGGAGAGAAAAAATTTTAAAGATAAGCAAAAGCTAAAGGAGTTCATCACTACTAGACTGGCCTTACAAGAAATGTTAAAGGAACTTTAAGCTGAAACAAAAACGGCACTAATTAGTAACAGGAAAACATATGAAAGTATAAATCTAACTGGTAAAGGTAAATATTTAGTAAAATTCAGAATAGCCTAGTATTGTAACAGTAGTGGGTAAATCACTTAGAAAGCTAATATGAAGGTTAAAAGACAAATGTAGTAAAAATATAACTTACAGTGATTTGCTAATGGATACACAAAGTAAAAAAATGTAATTTGTGACATCAAAAATATAAAATGTGAGTGGGGGAGTAAAAATGTAGAGCTTAAGAATGTGTTCAAACTTATTATCCACTTAAAATAGACTGTTGTAAATATAAGTAGTTTTATGTTGTCTCCTGGTAACTAGAAAGCAAAAACTTACACTAGATACACAAAAGATAAAGGAATCAAAGAATACCACTACAGAAAACCATCAGTTCACAAAGGAAGGGAGCAAGAAAATAAAGAATCAAAGGAATTACAAAACATCCAGAAGAAATTACCAAAATGACAGCAATTATATATCTATCAATAATCACTTTAAATGTAAATGGACTAAATTCTCCAAAAGACATTGAGTGGATAAATGGATAAAAAAAGCAAGATCCATCTATATGCTACCTATGACAGACTCCCTTCAAATATAAAAACACAGACACTGAAAGAAAGGGGGTGGAAAAGATATTCCATGCAAACTGAAACCAAAAGAAAGCTGAGGTAGCTATACTTATATCAGAAAAAATAGACTTTAAGACAAACTGTATTTAGAGATGTCATTATATGATAAGGAGGTTGATCCAACAAGATAAATTTGTAAATATGCACCCAACATGGGAGCACCTAAACTGTAATTAGAGATGTCATTATATGATAAGGGGGTTGATCCAACAAGATAAATTTGTAAATATGCACCCAACATGGGACCACCTAAATATATAAGGCAAATATAACAGACCTAAAAGGAGAAATAGACAGCAGTATAATAATAGTAGGGAAATTTAATACCCCACTTTCATCAATGGTTAGATCATCCAGGCCAAAAATCAATAAGGAATCACTGGCTTTAAATGACATGTTTGACCAGATGGGCTTAACAGACATATAAAGAACATTCCATCCAAAAGAACAAAATACACATACTTCTCAAGTGCAGATTGAACACTCCCTCCCCCAAAATCGTGTTAGGCCACAAAACAAGTCTTAATAAATTGAAAAAGAATGAAATCATATGATGCATCTTTTCTGACCACAATGGTATAAAACTAGAAATCAATTATGTGAAGAAAACTGGAAAATACACAAATGGGTAGAGATGAAACCACATTCTACTGACCAACAAATGGGTCAAAGAAGAAATCAAAAGAGAAATAAAAAATAACTTAAATAAAAATGGAAATATAGCATACCAAAACTTATGGGATACAGCAAAAGCACTTCTAAGAGGGAAGTTCATATCAATAAATGCCTATATTAAGAAACAAGATCTAAAATAAACAACCTAACATTGCACCTCAAGAAGTAGAAAAAGACAAAGAAACTAAGCCCTAAGTTCGTAGAAGGAAGAAAATAACAAAGATCAGAGCAGAAATAAATGAAATAGACTAAAAAGATAATAGAAAAGACCAATGGAACTAAGAGCTATTTGTTTGAAAAGATAAACAAAATCTTTAGCAAGACTCACCAAGAAAAAGAGAGAGGACTCAAATAAAATCTAAAATATAAGAGGAGACATTATAACTGATACCATAGAAATACAAAGGATCATAAGAGACTACTATTAACAATCAAACACCAAAAAATTGGACACCTAGAAGAAATGGTTAATTCCTAGAAACATATACCTACCATGACTGAATCATGAAGAAATAAAAAATCTGAACAGAACTTTTACTAGTAAGGAGATTGAATTAGTAATTAAAAAACAAAAACAAAAAAACACCCAACAAGCAAAAGCCCAAGACCAGACAACTCTTCCAAAAAATAGAAGAGGAGGGAAGACTCTCCAAATTTACCAGGCCAGCATTACCCTGATGCCAAAACCAGACAAGACAAGATTACAAGTCAATACCTCTGATGAACAGAGATGCAAAAATCCTCAACAAAATAGTAGAAACAGATTTCAACAATACATTAAAAGGATTATACATCATGATCGAGTAGAATTTATTCCAGGGATGCAAGGATGGTTCGACAGCCACAAATCAATTAATGTGATACATCACATTAACAGAATGAAAGATAAAAATCATGTGATCATCCCAATAAATGCAGCAAAAGCATCTGACAAAATTCAACTTCTATTTATGATAAAAACTCTCAACAAAGGGACATAAAGGAAACATACAAAATAATGAGGCCATATTTGACATATAATATGAGGCCATATATGATAAGTGCACAGCTAACATCATATTCAATGGTGAAAAGATGAAAGCTTTTCCTCTAAGATCAGGAACAAGGCAAGAATGCCCACTTTAGCTTTTAATCAATATAGTACTGGAAGTCCTAGCCAGACCAATTAGGCAAGAAAAAAAAAATAAAAGGCATTCAAATCAGAAAAGAAGAAGTAAACTGTCACTACTTGCAGATGACATGTTACATATAGAAAACTCTAAAGATTCTACCAAAAAATTGTTAGAATAAACAAATTCAGTAAAGTTACAGGACACAAAATCAACGTTCAAAAATCTGTTGCATGCCTATACATTAATAATAAGTTATCAGGAAAAGAAATTAAGAAAACTATCCCATTTAGAACTACATCCAGATGAATAAAACACCTAGGAATAAATTTAACTAAGTAGGTGAAGAACTGAACTCTGAAAATAATAAGACACTGAAGAAAGAAATTGAAGATTACATAAATAAATGGAAAGATAGTCTGTGCTTATGGATTGAAAGAATTTTGTTAAAATGTCCATACCGCACAAAGCAACCTACAGATTCATGCAATCCCTATCAAAATTCCAATGGCATTTTTCACAGAAATAGAACAATCCTAAAACTTGTATAGGACCACAAAAGACCCCGAAAAGCCAAAGTAATCTGAGAAAGAAGAACAATACTAGAGGAATCATGTTTCCTGATTTCAAACTATCCTACAAAGCTGCAGTAATCAAAACAGACACATAGATCAATGGAACAGAATAGAGAGAAACCAAGCTTATTCAAATATGACCATTTATGTAGGTAGGACAAGGAGCCAAGAATATACAATGGGAAAGGACAGACTCTTCAATAAATTGTGCTGGGAAAGCTGGACAGCCACATGTAAAAGAATGAAACTGGACCACTGTCTTACACTGTACACAGAAATTAACTCAAAATGAATTTAAGACTTGAATGTAAGACCTGAAACCATAAAACTCCTAGAAGAAAACATAGATGGTAGCAACTTGACATTGGTCTTCGTGATAATTTTTTTGGACCTGACACTGACAAAATTAAACAAGTGTGACTATATCAAACTAAAAAGCATCTGCATAGCAAAGGAAACCATGAACAAAATGAAAAGGCAACCTACTGAATGGAGAAAAATATTTGCAAATCATATATCTGATAAGGAGTTAATATTCAAAATACATAAAGAAGCCATACAACTCAATAGAAAAAAAAAAAATTCTATCAACAGGCAGTGGATCTGAATAGGCATTTTTCCAAAGACCACATACAGTTGGCAAACAGGTACATGAGAAGATGCTCAACATGACTAATCACCAAGGAAATGCAAATCAAAACCACCATGAGATATCACCTCACACCTGTTGGAATGGCTATTATCAAAAAGAGAAAACAAGAAATAACAAGTGTTGTCGAGGATATGAAGAAGGGAACCCTTGTGCATTGTTGGTGGAAATGTAAACTAGTGCAGCCACTATGGAAAACAGTATGGAGGTTTCTCAAAAAATTAAAACTAGAACTACCACATGATCGAACAATTCCACTTCTGGTATTTATCTGAATAAAATGAAAATATGAATTTGAACAGATATATGCACCCTCATGTTCACTGCAGCAGTGTTTAGAATAGCCAAGACATGGAAGCAACCTAACCTAAGTGTCCATCAATGGATGATTAAAGAAAATGTGGCACAAAGATGGCATTGAAAGCAAAGAAGGAAGTCCATGCCCCTCCCACAGCTGAAGCCAAAGCAAAGGCTTTGAAGGCAAAGAAAGCAGTGCTGAAAGGTGTCTACAGCCACAAAAAAAAAGAAGATAAGCACATCACCCATCTTCCAATGGCCCGAGACACTTTCGTAAGGCAGCCCAAATATCCGCGGAAGAGCATCTCCAGGAGAAACAAGCTTGACCACTATGCCATCATCAAGTTACCCCTGACTACTGAGTCAGCCATGAAGAAGACAGAAGACAACAATACACTTGAGTTCATTGTGGATGTCAAGGCCAACAAGCACCAGATCAAACAGGCTGTGAAGAAGCTCTATGACACTGACATGGCCAAGGTCAACACCCTGATCAGGACTGATGGAGAGAAGAAGGCATATGTTCGACTGGCTCCCAACTATGCTGCTTTGGATGTTACCAACAAAATTGGGACCAACTAAACTGAGTCCAGCAGACTAATTCTAAATATAAAAATAAATATAAAAACTTTTTACTGTAAAATAAAATGTGGTATATATTTATAATGGAATATTAAGTCAGCCATAAAAAAGAATGAAATCTTTCCATTTGCTACAACATGGACGGACCTTGAGGGCATTATGCTAAGTGATAAGTAAGAGAAAGACAAATACCACATGATCTCACTTATACATGTAATCTAAAAAAACAAAACAAAATTGAACTCAGAGATTCAGAAAACAGACTGGTAGCTGCCAGATGCAGGGGATAGGCAAGATGGGTGAAGGTGGTCAAAAGGTACAAAACTCCAGTTATAAAATATGTAAGTCCTGGGGATGTAATGTACAGCATGGTGAATATAGTTAATAATACTGTATTGTATATTTGAAATTTGCTAAGAGAGTAAATTTTAACAATTCATATCAAAAAAACTTAACTATGAAATTTTAACTATCAAAAAAAAGTTTAACTATGTTAACTATATTGTGATCATTTTGTAATATGTACATATAAATCATGTTGTACATCTGAACCTAATATGATATATGTCAATTATGTCTCAATTTTTAAAAAATGTTTACTTTCTATTCTCAAACATTTTATTAACACAGAAGAGCTAATATTTTTTCTTAAATAATTACAAGAATTTTTTTTCCTATGCCATAAAATGTAGTATTAACATTTAATTCTCTTTTTATCTTGCAGGTGTAAAGGGTCAAGTGTTGGATCAGAATGGAAATCCATTACCCAATGTAATTGTAGAAGTTCAAGATAGAAAACATATCTGCCCCTATAAAACCAACAAATTTGGAGAGTATTATCTCCTGCTCTTACCTGGGTCCTATATATTAAATGTATGTATACAGTTCTAGTTATTGTTATTAAAATAGAATTATAAAACTCACAATACTTACCCAGAAGGAATCTAAAATAAGTCTGGAAAGTCCAAAAGTAGTATATCAGGGCAGAAGGAAAGGACAGCATCAGACTAGCTTTCGGCAGGAGTGAGAGAGGTGAGCATGATAGGGACAAACCAAAAAAATCATGTTTTTTCTCAGCTAGCAATTTTTTTAATGGAAGCCAAATCCTATTTCTTGTGATACCTTTTATAATTAAAAAAATAAGTAAATAAACAAACCTTAATAATAAGAAAATTAAACAATATAGCCAAAGTACTTCCAAGCTTCATGAAATACCATTTTAACACCCATTCCATGAAACATAATTTCTGCTATTAAAAAGCAGATCAGGACACAAGTTCTTTAGAATTCACTGTAAGTAAAATTTGATCCACACATTTTACTACTATATTTAGCAAGTGAATGACATATTTTGTATCACTTTCATAAAAATGATGGTGAGTTTCCCAATCAATACAAGTAAAATTCCAGGTTTTAATTCTAATTTAAATGCATGTTTCTGAATCATTTCTTCCTAATAGGAAGCATGGACTGGTTTGAGCCAGAGTAGGTTTAAGTAAATGAACTAAATGAATAAGTACCTGATTTAGTTGGCCAGATGGTGCCTCTTCCTCTTTGATAAGACTCTTCCCTAAGAAACTCAGGATTCTTCTACTTTGCTTAGTAGATCTGATGCCAGCCCCACCAGTTGTTCTGAGCAGAGGTGCTCCTAAGAGAAGGTAGTCATCTATTCTGTAGTAAAAATTGTCTTTATATTTCATTATTTCATCTGTAGGACACAATAAAGGCATGGTTTTCAGTTTTAAAAGTTCTATAGAATTCAGAGCCTCTCTGCCCCATAGGTGAGCCTCTCCGCTCCATAGGTTGTCCCCACTGAGCCTGCCAGTGGGGCTCATCAATTGCTAATTCTCTTCTTGAGAATCTCTCCTCCCACTGAGAAAATTGATAGAGCTAGAAAGCCTCAAGTCACTGTACATCTTTGCCTAAATAAAAGGCCTTTTATTTTCCTGTTATTTACTGTAACATCTCCATTCTATGAAAAAAGAAGGGGGGGGAGCAGTTCCTTGTAGTGAATCTAAATTTTTTTTATGCAATCCCATAAATAAGCGACACCTTTATAAAATAGTTATGAACTGTTCATTTCCAATTACTTAGACTAACACAGTACATGTTGCCTTTAGCTACTATTTCTAGAAGATTGGAAAGCAAGACTTTGGAAGCTGAAATGTGTGGTTAAAATACATACCAATTAATGATTATGTAAATGTTATTCCCCATTCTTTTCTCTCTCCACCATATATAATAAAAGCATTTCTCAGCGGACATAGTCTATAATTAGTTTAGCATTTGTCCTATTTTCCCTGATCATTCCCCAACAACAACAAAAAAACAAATCTAGCTGAAGAGTCAGACTCATGAACTAAACCAGGTAAAATCAAAGCTTTATAACAAAGCAATAAGCTTGTACACTTAGATCAGCCACAAGGAAAATGGAATACATTGAGAAAATAATTCCACTTATAAATAATCTTGATACCCAATCAAGATATTAAGTACAGGCTTAGGACAAAGGGAAACAGTCAGCTCTTTACCTTTGCTCTCCATGAAAATGATGGGGCAGAATCAGTCTATTGCTTCCTTCTCTTACATCTTCAGATAGGGGATCTATCTTTATTTCACTTTGTAATTCTTGGCAATGGCATTAACAACTATGGTCCATATCGACAGACATTGAATAACTCTTTCAGTGAGCAGGACTGAAGCAATTACTAGCCTGGGAGGCCTGGCACTTTACTACATGTATTTCATAAAGGCTGCATTTTAGCAGTGGGTATCAGTGTTTTCAGTGTTGGCACCACGAAACATCTGAAATCACTCAAATAATTGTTTCTTGTTTCTTCTCAGGTTACATTTCCTGGACACAATCCATACCTCATGAAGGTGATTATTCCAAAAAAATCCCAGGACTTCAGTGCTTTTAAAAAGGATATTGTACTTTCATTCAGAGGGCAACTGGATTCCATCCCAGTATCAAATCCTCCATGTCCTCTGATTCCTCTATACAGAAATTTGCCAAGCCACTCAGCTGCAACAAAGCCTAGTGTGTTCTTATTTTTAGTGACTCTTTTTCACATATTGTTCAAATAAAGCAAAATGTGAAACTCAACTCCCATCACCACCTGGAATCAGGGATTTCTCATGCCAGGTTATTGCAAATCTGACTTCCTCTGTGGGACAACTGGACAAACTCCACTGGTCCTTCTCCAAGAAGATAAGTGGTTATTTCCAAATCCTGCAACAAGCAATGTGTGGTGATAACGAAAGGAATGATTTAGTCTTGATGATGAATGGAAGACACCTACCTTTCAAGTATTGCCCATTTATAATTTTAAAGTAGTCTTAGAAATTTTTAAGAAGTTAAAACTTGAGAAGCAAAAAAAGAAGTTCCTGCAAGAAAAAAAAGGCTAATTTTGTATACAGAGAGCCAGATGAATATAAGCAATGAAGATGAACATTTATTGATCACCTGTTATATACAAGACCTTGCTGTAAGTGCTATATGTGAAGAGATAGTGCCATATATAATTAGTTCTCAGGGCAGGGGGAAATGACAGGACTGGAAATATTTAGTTTTGCAAATATTCTTAGGAAATATGAGAGAATACAGGAAAATATGGACCTAATAGGATGACAAGGTGGTGCCTGAGTTCCAAAACAGGTCAATTAAGTGTCCTTGCCCTTCTGTACCCAGATGCCACAATCCTCTTATGCTGATAACCCCCAAGTGTGTAATTCTAGCCTCTTGCCTGAGCTTCAGACTACATCCAACTGCCCACTGGACACATCCACCTGGATGTGACCCACAGGTGCCTCAGACTTATGTTGAAAATTGAACATACTTTTCTCTCTAGAGCGGCTCTATTTTCTGTCTCAATTACTGGTACTACCACACTAGAAACCTGGGAGTCATCCTGGATACTTCCTCCTCCTCATCCCATATATTCAGTCACTAAAGACTGATGTTAATTATAAATGTTGGTTGACCCTACTCTCCCTCCGTGCCTACTAACACTGCCACGTTTCAGCCATCATAGCTCACCTGCACCACTGCAACAGCTTTACTAGGTCTCTTCCTCCCAGCCTTCTCCTCTTCAGATCCATCCTTCACACAGTACTAGGCAAGGGGATCTGTTTAAAACACAATTCAACAATCGTTTGTAGTTCCTATTCATGTAATGTCCTGGTGTGTCCGTGTCTGAAATGCCATTCTGATCCACTACATTTTCTTTCCCCCTCCTTTAAAACTCATTTCAGGTATGAACGCTAGGAAGCCTTTGCTGACCATCAGGCCATTCCTTTCCATTTCATCCCCTTCTAGTCAATCTGGGTGCTGTTACTCTTTGTTCCCCCAAACAAGTTGACTCTATTACTGGATTTACAACACTGTTATGATTTTCTATTTCCATATGTGAATTTTCTCTAGCAGAGTGGGACGTCTGAGGCCAGAGGCTAATTTGTTTGGAAAAAATTTTTTTTTTTAATCCTCAGAGCCTAGAACATATTAGGAAATGAACAAAGGATTCCAGCAATCTCCTACTCCTAATCTCTCCCAGAAACTGTAGGGCTTTGAGTCATTTTATAAAACTAGGTCCCATGCTCTGACAATTTCTGACTCACTAGTAACACTGACAGAAGAGTGTTTTCATATATGTATCAAGAAATAAATTCAAATAGGGTGCTTTTACTAGACTTTGCATTTTTCCTAAGGTTTGTAGTAAAGGTATTATGTTACCTATTAATAACACTATAGCTACCTTTTATCAGAAAACATTTTTTATCATCAGTACACAATATGAAGCAATTGTTCACTATAATGAGTTAACCTAACTTAAAACATTATATGTAAGAATAGGGGGAGGGAAGTATCAAACAGAAAAAAAGAGCAACCCTGGTAAGCTGATCCCTGGTAAACTGACCTAAGTCCTGTGTATTGCTCATGGAAAGTGAGTGTCCCTGGCTGTTTTAAATGGAAAGTTCTGAAGGATCTGGAAATGAAACAATCCAAATGAATGGGAGATACATGGGCATTTAGGAGCTATTCCTGTGGCAAACTTATTCTACATGCACAAAATCATAAATGTTTAATATGAACAGAATTTGTAGTCTTCTTTGAATCAGTTCTTTTAAATCTGGCAATAACCTAAATATCTTGATCATTTTTATTTAAATAAAAGTAATTTAATATATACTTGAAAGTATATATAATGCAGAAAATGGTTTTGTATATTATGAATAAAAGTATATAAAATTCAGCTTGATTTACCATCAAGCCCTAAACAATTTTCCAAGTAGGCATTCTGAGTTCTAATTTTTCCTTTTCTAAGATAATTTTTGAAAGGACACAAACCAAAATCTGAATTGGTTCATGAGCCTTAATGTAATTTCTTAAATGTTTTTAAAATCAGGTATTTCATCAGAATCAAACATAATCATTTAGAGACAAGCAAAACAATTACAGTAATCTCCAAACCAAATCTAAACCAAACCTGAATTTAATTTGGGGTACGTATTTTGCAGCGATGGCTCTGTGCTCAAAAGTAAATTTTGCAACAAGGATTTAGTACGGTAGTATTCCAGCTACATCCTTCACTAATCAAGTAAAGTGTCCAAGAGGAACAACTATGGAATTCTGATTATAGTCAGACCAGATTCCCACATCACCCTGCATGACACCTTGCCTACTGTTCCCTACCCTCATATGCTCCTCAGGTTCTAAGTTCAGGTATAACTCCTTTTATAGAGAAACCAACATGGTAAAGGTTTTCAAAACAGAAGATTGCACATGGGAGTAAAATGATGAAAGACAGGAGCTCTGGTTTCAAACTCACCCTATGTTCAATTTCCTTACCTGTAAAATGAAGGCCTCTGCTTGACTCAGATTCTCTGTCAGAAACAGTGATATGTCATACTTTGGTGCCATTTTTTGTGCTTGCTCAGGTCGAGGAAGGATAATTAACACTCAGGTGGTAAATATTTTGAAGGCAATATATCTTATTAAGGACCAAATCTTTTGCCTCAGATACAAACAGAATTGGTCTGAAAACTGAAACATTGCTTAGTTAGAATGATCATTTAATATTTAAGGAAACTTTTATGAAGTAACAGCTTTTCCTGATGTACCTACTCAAATTATGAAAAATGTTGAATGAATCTAACTGGTGGGAGTATTTTAGAGATGAGTACCTGCAGATGAGTGTCAGTGTTGATTTTGGTGCTTAATTTATCACAGACTTGAGCTGTTGGATATATCAGAAATGTTAAAAGCCTCTACTCAACATTTCTGAAAGTCTTAAGAAATCGTTTGGTTCCAGAAGCAAATATGAAATTTATTCTACCTTTAAAAAGCAAAAATATGACACTTGATTGGAAATGTCTTTTTCTAGGAAATCCAGAAAAATGAGCATAGTATATTTCTCATTGCAACAGGATAAGCTGCTTATTAAGAAGGTTGATTCTTATTGGTGAAAATAAAGTTGATCTCTATTTTATGACAGACCCCTTATATCTTCCTTTTGAGTTTATATGGTTAAAGAGAAAAAAGTTAATAACACCTAACATAGAAGTTTGGAGAAAGTCTAACTTTGTTATAGACTTTAACGAAGTCACTAATAAGCAGGTATTGTACTGTATTGCTTACAAGCTGTTTTATCATACTTTAGCATGCAAACTACCCCACAGCCATTTATACATGTTTCACAAATGATTTTACAAGTTTTCTTTCTAAGAACTTAAAATGCACGAATTGTCTAAGACTGTAAAGTTTTATTGGGTATTGGCCATGACTACCTCTGAATTGAGTAAATCTAGAATGTTTATTCTCAATAAATTAATATTCATGTAAACAATGCAGTTTCTTTCCATTACATTAACTTGAAAACAAGTACTTATGAAAGTGTAACAAAGACCACGTACCAGAGAACTGATTACTGCCAAATAAAACCTGGGAAAAATCAAATGACATTTTATGAGGCAATAATATTGCAACCACCCTTCAAAGCCCTGATAGTCCTCCCAGAATAGTTTATACATGATATACACCCATCCTAATGTTATAATCCAAATTAATTTGTACTTTGGGCAGATAAAAAGTGTGCCTTCTGGTTAAAAAAAAAAAAAAAATTCACAATGCACATTAAGGTAGTAAAGGGTCAGAGAAATCATGCAAGAAATGGGATTCCCCCAACATACTTAGCTATGGAAACATTTTCTTAAATAATTTAGCCTAGTACTGTCCCTATGAACTTACTTTCCTAGATTTCCAAACACATTTTGGGAAATGCTGAGTTAGGGAGAAGTCTTTTGTCCTAAATAAATAAATTGCTAAATAAGTGTCCTAAATAATAAAGTGCTTTTGACACAGAGCATACTTATAAACAAAGAATTTGCCTCCTATAGGAATTGAAAACCTAACAGCCCTGTTTCACTGATGCAATCCCTGATATTAAATTTCTAGTCATAGGACAGAGAAGTTGGGCTCAAGTTTGCCTGCCCACTGAAACACACTAAAAAATGATAGTGTAAATGAGACAAGGCTGAGTAGGATAGCTAACTTACAGATATCAATTTCTAAAAAGTGATAAATATCTCAATTTAGAAAATAAATTGGAAAGTTTTTCTATTTTCAAAAGGGAATTCATTACATACGAATCCCTTTGCAGAAATCTCCTGGTACATTTTAGCCAGACTTCGATAGTTAAATTGAAGCTCCTTAAAGCATCCATTACTCTCCATTCTTCCCTGCCCGCCATAAAAACAAGGTACAATTTTTAAATCAACTAAAATTTAGAAATATTAGACATAGCAAGAAAAGTAAAATAAAGTATAAACAAGTTATTATTCCATTCTGAAATTTCTATTTACTAGTTTTATAATGAAAAGCAACTTATTTAAAGAATGGAACCTCAAATTTTGGAAGTACCAGTTTATACAAATAATTTGCTACACCATCGTACATACTCACTACAGATTTCCAGAGTTTATAGTAAAATGATTAACTTGGGTCAAAGTCAATAAATTTTTTCTGATTGATCAAAGATATCTGTACTTCCACACGAAAGCAATGTTTTTACATATCGTGTTTGTCTCATGACGCTCTGAAGGATAAATAATGAAGGATTTCAGGACTGAAAGGTGAAGCTTGTGTTTTAACTGAGCATAGAATTCTCATTATTCTAGCCCAGCAATCTCTTCTGGGAGTATTCTGTCCACTGTGTTATGGGTCTATTTACCATGAGTGGATGCCTTCAGAGAAACCAATGTTGTGCTTCCACCTAGTGGTTAAAAAAGTGTTTAAAAGATTTGGTCTTCACTAGCCTCAAAAACAAACAAACAAACAAAAAAAAACGAATGATTGTGATAAAAGGAGAAAAGTATTTTTTAATGCAGAGGGATTTTTTTTTTTTTTAAGGAAAAGCTTTTCCAATTGTTACAATCCTGACATTGTATCAACTTTTAAAGAAAATTGTTCCCTTATTTTCAAAATGGCTTTTAAAACTGCCTTTTTTCCTCTTGTAAATTAGGGAAAACTGCATATTTGCTTTCCTTGCCAATTGAAATCCTTTACTAAATGCCTACTGTGCACACAATGCACTATAGTAGACACCTGGGAGAAAAGGACAGGAAAGCATGTTACAATCAACTACTGTGGAGAGTACAAAACAATATGTCAGTGAACTTGTGTGAAAAATACCTGAGACTATGTATGTATGTATGTATGTATGTATAAAGATAGGGTTAATTCGAGGTTACCTCAGCTGGGTTTTAGAAGTGGTTATGGTCATGAATAGATGCAAGGATATAATTAAACGCCTGTCATTTATTAGAAGGCCTTACTACCTGCCAGACCCCAACCTTGGCTCCATTTATTTATTGTCTAATTCTAAGGGTACTAAGTACTGGATCTGCTATTTGAATTTAGCCCTTCCCACTCCACAGGATGAAAATAAAAAGTAACGGGAGAGTCAGGAAAACAAGTGAACTTTGTTACACTACAAAGGATGAGAGAAGAGAATGATGAAAAGCAAGCACCTATTTCACAGAGAGCTCTAAAGGCTAAAATGATCAGGCAGAACATTTGAGATAACACCCAACAAGCAGTAAAATTAGTTTTTTTTCAATATTTAAATCAGGGAAGCAACATGAAGATACCTGTAAATTATAAATGAACCAAAAATGGGGGAGACCAAAGGCAGTGAAGTCAATTTAGACAGACGTTACTGTGTTCTTGGGAGAAAGGCCTGGGAATGTGTGAATAAAAACACACACAAAAATACTAAAATTTAGCAGAGAAATATATAAAATTTGCCTAACATGACAGTAATGGAGAAAAAAGAAAAACAATCTAGTATGGTTTTCTTACCCAAAACAATATTATTCTAGCAGTATCTTTATATATCATTCCAAATGTATTACCTATTAACTACTGAACATTTGAGGAATCTCTCATCTGCTTGTCACTTCATACTGCTCTCATTCTATTTTCTCTTGGTTTTTATTAAATCCTAATAACAGCCCATTTTACAAATTAACTTATTCAACACTTCGGAACACCTTCTAATGTGCTGGTGCTTTCAGATATTTCTCTTTTAAAAGCATCGTTTGTAAATTCAAAAAAAAAAAAAATTCCCTATCATATATAATTGAAAGCTGGATTTACGATAGACAATATGGCCACAAACTTCTAACTTCTGAACAAATGGTATTTTAGGCTGAAGAAACTTTTTAAAAAACTAAACTAAAACCCAATTCAGAATCCAAACATCCAGAAAGTGCAACTGTAAACTTTTCACAATATACTGTGTAACTTACAGTTATCATCATGAGGCTACAGACTTTCATCCTCATCAGTTAGCTTTAGAATCCTTATTAAAAATAAAAATCCAAACTAAATTATGCCCACAGCTAACCCTGGTTTGGCTTTGGGGCCCACAGGCTCCTGTTTTAAAGCCAGCTTCAAGACTCAAGTCCCAGTGCTTTGATTCATTCAATAAATTCTTATTGAGCACCTATATACATGAATCAATCAAGAAGAGGTTCTTGGCCTCGTGGAACTTAGTTTCATAGATGACACAGAGAACTTACAATAGGGCTTTTCATGACCACTAGTGGCAGGGTGGCTAGCCCTAACTCCCCTCCCTGCCCCAGCTACACCCCTTCCAGACAATTCACAACCACTTGAGAAACCACTTAAGCCGCTTGACCTGTAGTAACACAAGAGAACAGGATAGGAAGAAAAGCCATTTCACGGTCCTACAAAACGATGTAACATTATTCTCTTAAGTTGGCTTTACTCAATAACTTAGGGGCTCTCAACTGCATCAAATTGATATGTGTACTTCCAAAGTGAGTGGGCATGGCCATTCTAAAAACAGAAGCATGTTCAGACTTATACCTTTAATTACCGAAATAAGATGATATTCAAATATAATCTCTATTTTAACAAAACATTATTATAGGAAAATTTTAAGTGTTTAAAAGATCCAATAATCAATTCTTGAAACAATTCTCAAACAATTAATAAATCGTTTATTCATAAATCAATAAATTTATGTATAAAAAGCCAAAATTTTAGACAATCAAGATAGTAATGATAGGCATGCTGAATGAGACAATTTGCAGATCTGAATGTTTTGTAAATAGCATAACACTGTATAACATATCCTGAAAGTACAGTGTTTATAACTGCATTTTTGCTACCAACTCTACTTGAAGTTATTATAAATCCCAAATTAATAAAGCTTTAATGTATTTAAAGATCACTCTTTGGCTAATGTACTGATTGCTTCAAGCATTTGTTTTCTACGTATATACGTATACACAGTAAGTCACATGCACGTGTCGTTTGTTTTTAGAGTTTAATACAATACCATTAGTAACTGGCACACAAACTTGCTGTGCAAAATTTTCCTTCAGTTCCATTCTAAACTAATAGTTCAGTTGATTTTATTGTCCTCACCTGACTATGTACAACTGTCCTACAGGGGAGAAAAACATTGGGACTCTAAATCAAAGTGGTTATTTTCACTATTTTGCTGAAGATTTATATTTAAATATAAATCAGTATGTTAATCTATTCAGTTTGATATTTTATAATCCTATGTTTGACCCTACTGGTCTTAAAGGAAAGCAATCAGTTGTTTTACTGAGAGAACTTATGACATTTCCAGCTAGTTTAAAAACAAACAATCCTTCTAATTATTAAGTTTCTCAATTAGTCTTTGTGAATTCACTTGTTTCCAAAACTGGCCCTAAGCAAACGTCTGAAACCTAGGTAACTACCAGGAACATGTAACCCAGCTGATGAAGACATTTCAAAGTGACTTATAATTTTTCAACTTCAAACAACAGATGGCACTAAACTCTGAAATTAGGTATGGAAAAGGGCCTGGATGAAACAATCTGCCTAAGTTAGATGCCTAGACAATTCCACATTGTACCAAAGAGCCTTAAAAAAGTTATGAGTAAATGATGGCTATTCTCAAAAACTTCTCAAACTGACATTATCATTATCACCTATCCTTTACTATATCAATGAAGCTAGATAAGAGCATTTTTACTTACACAGCACCAAATATAACTACCAATTACTTTTTTATCCAGGAGTATTTTAAGAGTCTCTGAAAGAATAAAGTCTGAGTCAAAAGGTTTAAGAATATCTAAAATTTAAATACTAAGTATTTCGTACTTTTTCTCCTCCTCACATAAAAAGTACTAAATAAGTTATATTTAAATGTCCTACTTGCAGCACTTTTTTAAAAAAAATCAGATACTTCTCGTTTAAGAGAAAGTGAAAATTATTTAAAATATGAGGGGCAGGGGTAAAGGAAGAACTATATATCCAATTCAAATTACATTAAAATCTAAATATAAACAGGAGTGAAATTTTCATTAAAGAAAATAAATATTCACTATTCCCTCTCCCAAAGTAGGTAAATTACACTACAGAAAACAAATCTACATGCATCAAGATACCTTCTTGTTTTGATACAAGTAAAAAAATAAAATTTCCTGTTGTCTAAATTTTTAGGGTTATATAGTTAGAAATATATAATTCTACTTTTATAGAAGGGTCAACTAGGAGAAATAAGTTAACACGATCATTTGAATTGGTTGTCTACATACTGGGCAGGGCTTGTTCCTTTTCTTTAGCTTCTTTGCACATGTAAAACATGCCATAAGATGTCCTGTTTTGCCATGGACGATGCAACCATTTTTAGGTCGACCTTGGCAAATCACACAAGGTTCGATGGCATTAAGTGGAAAACTAGACTCCACACTTTCTTCTTTGTCTTGTGTTTCTTCTTTCTCTAACTCTTTGACATCTTCTTGGCTGCTATAAATGATGCTACTAGAAGTTGATGGCTGAGAATAGTCTTCACTTTCTTGGGATTGGGAGGCTTGTGTGATCTTTTCATCATTTTCCTCAATACATGATTCTCGGGAATCATACACTGTAGGATTTTTTTTACAATCAGGGACATCAAAGCCCTCTTCTACTTGTACTGAGTTTTCAAGTTCAGTTTTCTCATCCATTTTCCCTTTTTCTTTCCTTTTGTCTTCAGGAAGCCAATTCTCACGAAGGGCCCAGCATCTGTTGCAATGTGGTGGAAGGGGAGGATTCATTTCACTGCATGAAGTACACTTCCAATAGTCCTTCAAAGAAATAAGAGAGTTTCTGTAACCCTTTAATAACTAGTCATATCTATGCTAGCAACTTTAATATGTCTAAGGTAAAATATATCACACAGCTCAATTTTCAGCATTTACCAGTCTTTCCGGTATTTCTCAGCTAAACTCTGAAGAATACTAAAACAAAAAATTTATTCACCATGACTTTAACCATGCACCTATAAAGTTATGTGTTCAAGGACACATGGTTCATTTAGTTGAAGCAAGTGATATGGGATCGATCTTCTGCTCTGTAATGAGACTCATACCCATTTAACTTCCTTTAAAGGCTCAATCCTGGATACTGTGTAATCCTAGATACAATCAATCTGGATGAAACCACCACTCAATCTGCCACTGACTTCCCTAGAAGTGCACTAAAATCAATGCTCAGCTGAGTGTTCCCTAACTTCACCCACAGAAGTGATGCTAAAACATTCTCCCCAATAATCACTGACAGCTAAAATCTGTCATCCTTGTCACTATCCAAAATGTATGCCCCTTACTTATCTATCCTTCCCTATGTTCTCATCTCTGTAACTGTTGATTGCTTCTTCCTTACCCTAATTTATTTCCCAAATCTTTCCACCATGCAATTTGGATAACAAACTTCCCTCACATCCCTAGCTTCTTTACTGAACATACCTTTATCTCCCTGCCTTAACTGAAACATGGTTCTTGCCTGAGAACATTGTACATGTAAAACTTGCCATTGGAGATCCTTCCTATCCTGACATGAATAATGTAACCGTTTTTAAATTGCCTGACAAATAACATAAGACATTAGCAAAAAGGGTGGAGACTATTCATTCTCCCACATTGGTTCTTTCAAGTTGTCAGAGTAAGTTTCTTCTAACTGATAAAACCAAAGAAAGAGGCAATATTAAGAACAAAAATTAAAGCAATATTCAGTTTGGAAAAAAACTTCCAATACCTCAGGAACCGAGGGAAGTAGGAAATGTTTAAGTCCTAATTTCTTTAATGTCAAACCCTACATTCTAATACAAATCAATATGAAAATGTTTGTATTCAATGAGATTGGCAAAATGTTGGTAACTATTAAAACATGATGCTAAGTACCACTGGAGATACACTGTATTATTCTGCATGCTCTATATATTTGAAATTGTCCATAATAAAGTTCTTTAAAAGTTCAAATTCCAGCAGAAAAAAACTAAAAAATGTAGCAACAGATTCTACCACAATAAACAAAAGAACAAAAATGTTTTAAATCATTAAAATTTTTAAAATTTTAACTTCATAAAAATTACCTCATGTAAGGAAGATTAGACGTATTTTTCTAATCTTGACTTTGATATTATTTTTCAATTCCTTAAAAAGGTAAATATATACTTACAGCTAAGGAGATTTCAGGGTCGTCTTCAAATGAATCCGTATCACTTTCCCCTGCCTGATACACGGTAACTTGATATACCTAATAAAATAAACCCATTAGCATCATCACGTTTTCTTCAACCAGGAAGGCTTCTTAGTATTATGTCCTAAACAAATAGCATGTATTACTATATATGAGAAATTCTGAGACAAAGGTCAAATGGAATGAGTGTAAAGGTGGAAAACAGATCAGTGAAACCCTCATCTACTATGGTAAAAAGTCAACAAACAGAATGTTTAAAATAATTAAAGCAAAAATATTCAGTATACTTGTTTTTATTTTATTAATATAGAGGTAATAAATAATAGTAAAACAGGTAGAAATGTAGGCAACAGAGCTGGAGGTACTATGTGACTTTAATGGTATACATGCTTTCTTTACTTTTATAAAAAGTAAATTAATACAAAAAGGGAACTAAATCGTTTTTTAAATGAGCAAACTATTAAAAGAATACTCATTAAGGCCTACTTCTTGGGATTATACTTATAAAAATATAAATCAAACAACAGAGAACTACAAAGGCTCAAGTCCAGAAAACAAAACTCCAGTTTGAACTAATCAAGAGTCAAATATTTCAAGTGAAATCTGAATACATTATTTTTTCAATCTCAGCAGTCAATCTGGAAAATATTTTAAAACTTTAGAATATAATTAGAAAAATAAAACTACCTCATCATCTTCATCTGAGAGTTCTTGTCCTTCTTCACTAAGGTTATAATCTTCCGAATTGAAAGACTCAACTTCAAATTCTACACTGAATCGATCTGAAACTGAATCCTGATCCAACCAATCACCTGAATGTTCACTGACACCAGCATCGAGATCCTAAAATCAGAAAAAAAAAAAGTGTGACATTGTACATTATTTGTTGGCCTCTGTAACAGCTTCCTAACTCATTCCTGTGCTTCTAGTTCTTTCTCAGATCTATCCTGCACACTGACACTAGATTAACATTCTGGGTCATTACTACACTATTACTTTCCCTGTTCAAACTCACCACATTAAGGAAAAAGGCCACATCCTCTTGGCATTCAAGGTACATACAGTATGACTATATGAACATTTTCAGCTTACCTCTAGACACTTCCCACCCCCACCAATAAATATGAACTATCGGCCAGATCTAGATTGTTTCATAAACCACTTGGCACTTCAACTTCCACACTCTAACTAGAATAACAAGTTTTAAGTCCTGCTCATCTTTTGACAGAAGTAAGCCTCTGATAATACCACAACTAAAAGAACTCTCTGAACCTTTTATTACCATTACTACTTATGATTATTACTGATTATATATTTCCACACATAAATAATGCAAAAACAATTTTGCACGTTTCTTATCTGAATTATACACACTTTAAGTATTAAGACCATGTCTTAATCACCTTTACATCTTAAGTTGGTAGAATACTAGAAGCTAAAACATGCAATAACTATGAGATTTATGTTTTATAATAAACTTTGAGAATAATTTCTTTGGAAGAACTTTTAAACATTTCTATTTCTTTTTAAAATTCTGTATCTGCTCATGTGATTCCTCATTTTAGGTCTCTAATTAATAGTAAAGGAACCTAATAAGACTTTCGATCCCATAATTATGTGCTGTCAGTGGCTAAGGGTAGAACTAGAAAAAGTACATAAATCTAGGAGTCAGGATACATACATTCTTATTCTAGATTTGCCACTAGGTAGCTATTTAACCTTGAACATATTTAACCTGTAAAGGCAACAGCTACTTCATCTATGAAAAAGTTTGAATTAAATGATCTCTAATAAATTTCCATCATTTATAAAAACAAAAACAAAGTATATTATTTTATAACCACTCAAGTCAAAATACTTTTTTACAGTGATGTTAAGCAAGTAGTAGTAAAAGCAACATTCATCAAGTTGCAGTTCTAATTCATAACAGCTCTACTATCAGGTTAAAATCACAAGTCAAGCTAGAATACAATAATATTTTCAATAAAATATTGAACAAATTGGATATTTCAATTAACTAGTGCACTAAGTTTAGAATAAGAGGAAAATCACAAGAAAAATTAAGTCTCAGAAAGCAGCCTCTATGGCAAGAGTCAGCAAACTGGCCTCTACCCTAAAGTTTTATGGATCACAGCAACACCCATGTTTACCTGTCATCTATAGCTGTTTTTGCCTTACAGCAACAGAGCTGAGTAGCTGCAACAAAGATCATATATCCTGCAAAGCCCAAAACAGTTACTATCCCATCCCAGTTTGCCCACTCCAGTTCTAGGGTACAATGAAGAAAGCAATATTAAAAGTTCTTTTTAAATATTCTGGCTAATGTTCAAAAAAGAATTACTCACTTAAATATTGTATATTGTAAAAGCAAAAGACAGGCTTGATCTGGAAAGATCTTAAATTTTAAAGTCAGAATTCCCTGGTTTTGTCTGAATTCCAATTGTGACAGCTATTAGTTATGGGATCTTAAAAAAGTTATCTGAAACCCTCAAGTCTTAGTTTTCTCATCTATAAATGGAGTTTGAGGCTACTGAGATGATAAAATACCATGTAAACCAACTGATATAGAGCCTAGAATATAGCCTTAGTTTCTCAATTTATAAAACCCAAAAGAGGCGAGGCAAATATACTTTCCTTTAACTCCTTAACAAACTGGTGAATGACGACACCAAATGATGTCTATAACATTCTTATATAAAGTAAGCTAAATCGAAAAAAAAAATTGGCCCTACCAAAAGTTTTTATAACTAGGAACTTGGCCTGAAAAACAAAAGATTTTTAATAGAGAGGAATTTTTAGAGAGTGTACAGTAGGAATAACGGTGGGGGGGAAGGGGGAATACTCGCTACATTTCTTTGATAACAAGGCAGTGTCCCAAGTGGAAAGCAAGAACAAGGACTGTAAATACCATGAAGCTAGAATTCTGGAACAACTTTAACAAAGACTAAGTTTAATGGAACATTGTAAGGAATATAATTACCTAAATATAAAATTTGTGTACATGTCAAGTTTTCTTTTATTGGAATTTTCAGATCATACATATTTGCTTTCAAGAACCTGTATTTTTTTCATAGCATTTATTAAATGTTTAATTATTTAATTGTTGATGGTCTAACTCCTCATGATGGCAAGGATAATATTTACTTTGACTACCACTGTATCTCAGTGCCAAATGGGTGGCATAGAAAACACACTTAAATATGTACTGAATAAAGAACCTGCTCTCCCCAAGCCATCTAGTGGCCTACACAAGTAACAGCTCTACTAAATACGAACGTTAAAGGGCACATCTGTATCCATAAAATCACTGCTTTGAAAGAGAAAAACCTAACATTATAAGAATAAGGTTACCATCACAATTGGTTCAGTCTCTTACATCTTCTAGAGAATTATAAAATGATCACTCATATCCAGAATGACCATGAAGCACTGCTGTCTGTATCACAAATAAAGGTTCCAATTTTAATAACATTTTAAGGACAAATGTTAATGACAAAAAAGAAAATATTCCATTTGTCAAACATTCTTTACAAAACTTCTTTCAGTGACTTAAGAATTTTACTCCTGGCTAATACTTTAGAATTTTATATCAGTCAGAAAGTACTGATAATCTGTCAACCATGCAATAATATACCCATATTTCACAACCTTAGTAAGTAAATAGACCCTTCCCTGATGTCTAGACCTACATATAACAAATGTGAAGCTGAGACTTACTTGCTGACAGCTGTAGTAAAAATATTTTTATTCTAAATACTCAAGACAATTTGCCTTAGAATCCTAAGACATCGAAGCAAATTTTCAATTTTGTTCCCTTATTTTTTAAAAAAATTCTAAATTCTCAGACCACCTTATACTCCAATTTATTTGAATTTACTATATTGGTGCAGTGGCCCCACAAAGAGGCTCCAATATGTAGGGTGATATTAATAACTATTAATATCCGTACTAATTTTACCAACACGAGCCCAGTGCAACTCCACTATTTTCCACCCTTCTCCCCAAACCTGGGGAAAATTTACAAAGGTTTATTTTAAAGAAAAATTTACCACTGTGCATAGCAGCAATCGCATATTATACATGTGCATTCTTTCTGAATGCTTATTAGAACTGCCAGAATCAGATTTTAAAAATAAAAAGTCTCGTTTTATTTAAAACAAGAAGATTACCGGATTTGATGAAGTCCCTGTTGATTCACTGCTACTGTTTCTTTCACAACGTATCTCCCTTATTACACACAGAGCAAGGCTTTCATCAAAGGAAAAGGAAATACTATCAGATTTGTGGCGCTTTCTTTGTCGTTCACCAGGTAATTCATCTGAATTGTCTTCTGGATATGTTAAGAAAAAACAAGTTAATTAAATTGCTATCCTATGATTTATTTATAAACTGAGCTGTCTTAGAGTACCTATCTGTACTTAAATTTAGTTTCAATGAAATTAAACAGAAAAATAGTGCTATTTCGAAAGTCAACATTCTTTCATTGGATCTGTCCAACAGAGCAGAACACTAAATCTTTAAAAGACTTTATAAAGCTTGAAATTTTTATCTACTTTAAATTACAATTAATTTAATCCCTCCACAACTTATACTGAGCAAACAATCTAGAATTTTTCTGTCAAAACCAAACTTAAGATTTTTTTTCCCTGAACCAAAGATGTTTAATATACTTAGAAGATATAAAGATATAAAGATATAAAGAACCAAAGATGTTTAATATACTTAGAAGATATATTTGGAATTCACTTTGGCATAAGTTACAAATATAATTTGATTTCTCCCAACCAAATAACTACTATTTGTTCCAGTCCATGTAAATAAGATATCCTCTGCCCTTACTGCCTTCTGTCCTCACGCACAAGATTCCAGTCTGGGTTTTTTTAGTCTATTTCACTGATCATCTTTCACCTGAATCACAGAGTTTTAGTTATTATACTCTTGATCAGGCAATAGCCTTCTCCTCCACCATCTTTTCTCTGCAAAAATACTCTTAGCTACTTTCTTAACCTATCTTCGTTCCTAAGATGTTAGTTATGTTTTTAAACTCACTGGTAGGTTTTATCACTTAACTGCTAAGATAAGTAAAACAGAGTTTAAACCTTTGTTCTCTATTATCTTGAACAGAGAGCTAGCTAACTATGAAAATCAAGGAGCACAATAAACTCTTCCTAATGTTGCTAAGAAAGCAATTTTTAAACCAAATAAATCACATAAAAATGAAAATGAAACTCAAAGAAATTCATTCATCTAAACCAAAAAAAGCACGATTTCATTAAGCCTAAATGTAGTAATTTCATTAGAGAATGAACACTAAAAAGCTGTTTAAAAATGATAATTAAATATTCATATTTACCTGTCTCACTAATCGTTCTCCTTCTAGATGAGGCAGATGGTCTAGAAACCAAATCTGAAGATGAAGGTTTTTCTTCTTGTAGCTCTTGCACAGGGTCCTAAGCATTCGGGGGCGGACACGACACACCACAAACTTAATTTTAACACCAAGAAACTAAAAATTCTATTTTAAATAACCTTTTCAATTTATAAGAAACATCATACTAGAACAAGTAGTTTCAAGATTACCTTTTCATCACTCCCACTTTCAAGATGACACCTGTTTTCACTCACAGGTATGCCTGAATCTGATGGTTCTGATAGAAAATAAAAACAAAAAGTTACAAACTAGGAAAAAAAGGCTATTCAATCATCAGTCTAGGACAAACTCCTTATACAATTTAACATTTCAACAAAGAAACGTGTCTCCCAAGTGCCATCCCCATGCTAGATTCTTGAGATGTAAATAAGATAATTCGATTTTAATATAGAAGACACATAAGAGTAATTAAGCATAATAAACACAATAAAAGAAGTGTAAGATAAATCAGTGGTGAAGCAGAGCAATTATTTGGTAGGAACAGAGCAGTGTCTGAGGAACAAAAATTAGAAGCAGGACTAGAAAAGACAATTCCAGATTGAGGGATCACTGTATTAAAAAAGAAAAACATCCAAAAGTCAACTACCAGTGCCTGTGGCAGGAAACTACATGTAGTATATTACCAAATGTAAGCAGAATCATAAATTATCTTGTGTGTCTTACTAAACACAAGAATGTCAACAAGCAGCACTCGCCGGTGTCACTGCACTCTTCCCAGCTGATACTTTGGAATCTTTCCTAGGGTACTGCTGCAGCCACTCCCCATAAAAAAGTTTAATCCAAGAGATAAAACTGACTTGTTAGCACACAGCAAGTATTTTATCCAGAGAGCAATAAAGAACTCCTCTCTAAATGGTCATTTTAAACGCGGGAATGACAACTCACGCTAGCAAAATACAAGAAAAAGGGAGCAGAGGCAGGAAAACCAGTATTAGACAGTAACTGCAATAATACTTATAAAAAAGTACTGAAGCCTAAACTAAGGCATGGAAAAAGAAACGGTTCCAGAGAAATTAAAAACATAAAAGCCCTGGTGTCTGATATACAAGGCAGGGGAGAAAGGACTCAAGGATTCCAAGATTCTACCTTGGGTGGACAAATAGATGGTACCATTCACCAAGACAGAAACTGCAGAAAATGGACAGATTTGGAACGGAAGATAATGAACTGAAGTGGATGAAACTCATTCAGGTAGGTGAGTTTAGTTTGTAGTTGGATATGTAGACCTGGAGCTCAAAAGTCAAAGTTTCAGGTATGGAATATATACAATTACAAACGATCATAATCAAATGCCCTTTACAGTCTTTTGGAGACATTTTCATCTGAATAGTGAAGTTAGGACTGAGCATTAACATTTTGAGATTATATACATCATAATCGTTTATAGGTATTACACTGATTTTAAAATGTACATGCAGAGAGATTATATTTTTAGTACAGTAATACAGATGTTACCAAACAGATGCAATAAAAAGCACTAGGTGTGACAAGGTTTAGAACGCTGATATAAATTCTGAAGTTAATGCTACTAATCTGAAATCTGGAACAAACTCAGAAAGGAAATAATATAAATAATCTATAATTACCATCTCATTAATAAAATTTTCCTAGTAATCTACCAAGGTTTATTTAAATAAACAAATAAATACATCTGTGATAATACTTCAGAACAATGAAAATACTACAGTACTATAGTTATTTTATTTGCCTTCATTTGAATGCATAAAGAGCTTTGTAAAACAATAAAATGTCAGGTCGCCAGATTAAAAGTTACTTCTATTCTGGGACAAGATGGTGATGCCCTTTTCTGGGCCTTAAATCCTAACTTTGGAAAAACAAGTATTCAACACTTACTAAACACCATATAAATAAAACACTGTACTGTGTGATGTAGAATGCAAACTTGAATAGGACACAGGAAAGAGAAATATAAACAGGTATAACAAAGCATTATAACAATAAAATCTAAATATGGAATAGTGGTAGCACAGAGGAGTGGTCAGTTCATCCAGAGAAGTAAATGAACTTCTGAGAACAGTTCTTAATTGTATTTTGAGGATGGGCTTTAAAAAACCTGTGTTGTGTTGGAGTCAGCTCCCAACAGCATTCAAAAGCAGACTGTACACATCTCTTCCCAACTCTATATTTATAGCCTGAAAATGGCCATGATGGGAATATTTATACCATGGAAATCACCAACCACTACAAATCAGGGCTTTTCCCTTAGAGAGTGGGTTGTTAAACATTGACCAGCATACCACTACATATGTGTATCCTGGAATGAGAATCCACTGCTTTGAGATTATCAAAGGGATATGTGACTCAAAAAAAAAACTAGTTAAGAACAAGTCTAAATGTATTAAAATCTCACTTACCTAAATAAATTGGTAAACAAAGTTTTGTCTACTATAAAAACCAAGGAAACAAAAATACCCATCCTTGTTTCAAATGGTCTTACCTAGGTATAATTACTTCCCAAAATCTTTCAATACATGTTTCAAGGTTCAATCATATCTTTACTAAGTAGGGAGCTTCTGAAATGATCTACCTTTCAAGACAAATTCTAATAACATAAGGCTTAAAACTGATATGTCTGCATTAGAATCTAGTATTGTGTTTAGTTCGTATGTATTTCTTCTTATTAATCACACTCTTTTATAATTCAACATATAACAAAGCAACTTTTAAAGAGAATCAAAATCATAAAATTTCTGTACATACACAAAACATCTTTAAAATATTTTTATGATATTCAAAATTAACTTACCCTGCTGATTGACTACTACCAAGTTTCTGTAGATCATTGTATATATTTTCCTTGTAGGGAGAAAAAAATAAGAAATGCACATTTTAAAATAAAAATGTATTAAACTGGATTTAATCTCTTTTAAATGTATTATTAGTATGAACTACTGTACCCAAACCAAATTTTAAATCACTGCATTTAAATTATATCAAGCTTCCAAGCCCTAAAAAGTACCTAAAGTTGCACAATGATTATATACAGCTACTTTTAATAGTCTCTAGATGAAAGAGTTGACTATCGATTTCCTGAAATGTGCCTTGTTTGTATTTTACCAAAGGACCACAGAGAATGGGTGTGAATGCAGGAGGCAGGTTAATATATATACTTATTTTCAAACAGAAAAGAAATTTTCTATTTCTGTGCTTAAAAGCAGACTACTTAAAAAAGTAATGTTATAGAAAATCCACTATATAGAAACTTGATTATAATTTTGACTTTCATCGACCTTGGACTAATCATCTGATTTTCTTTCATGATCTTAAAATTTATTAAAAATAAAGCAGTATTCACTGATTTCATAAATACGAACTGAGAACCTACTACGTACCAGCCACTATTCTAGAAAATGGAGAAAAGAATAAAATAAAACCAAATCTCTGCTCTCATGGAACTCACATCCAAAATAGGAAGGCAATTCACTTATTCCAGTATTCAGTGATGTGAAAGTATGTTTCTTTATTTTGAACTAATGGTTTTAGAGAATGTTTATTAGCTAAAAGATACCATTTATAATCCTCAAGGTTAAGGTGGAAGTGCCAAATCCAACTATTTCTTTTCACCCTTGGGACTGTATACACCTCCTTAAACTCACAAAAATCAATATTCCTATTCATATGCTTTTTCCGAGTCAGCAATTTCCCCAGTGGTTAATCTCTCAACATATTAGAATTCAAGTCAAAGATAATTCTAACAGTATGCTTTCAATATCAGAAACTGTTATCTCCAAACATTATCAAAAGATTCAATACTCGAATGGTGTAAAATCACTGATACAGTTCTTTAATTTATAAAATTAAAGCTTTATCCTAAGGCCAGTATAAAATGGTACCATAAATATTAAACAGAAGTGGTTTTGTCAATGGAAAGATGCTTATATAATGTTAAAAATCAAGATGATATATAATTTTATTAACCAATGACACTCCAATAAACCTTTTTTGAAAAAGGACAAAATTAAACATATTATGTTCACAACTAGGTTAAAACATATCTGCACATAATATAAAAATGAGAGGTAAAAATATCTTTAAAAAAAAAATACCTTTCAATGACAAACTAGTCATTTTCTTTCCTATTCATCTTAGCTTTCTGTCTTAATGTTCAGAATAAATTTATAAATAGCCCACTTAATTACCGTCTTTTTAGCTATATTATTGAACATTAAATACCAATACAATCTGGTTGTTTCATGTGAAAAGTATTCATTTATTAGGATACACATGCTAAGGCTCTATAAAGATTGTGCTAAACCAAGTGGGACAAGAAATTCCAAATGTAAGAATGACTGAAAAAAGTCTTCAGCTCTCAGTAGAATAATTCTAGAAATGTTATCTGAGTTAAATTTAACATAAGTACCATAATGGTATACAACAAAAAAAAAATGTCTAAAGTAACTAAAGCTCAAATTTAAGCTTTTATCACAGGATGTAATAAAAATTTTTGGAAGTGACTATAATATTATTTTTTTAATATGCACCAACTAGCTAATAATTGAGTTTACTATGTGCCAAACATATGCTTTTTACACAATGTCTTCATAACCTCCACATGAAGTATTTATATTTTTTCCTTACTTTACAAACAGGGGGAAACTAAGGTTTAGAAAGGGTTATGTCAATTTACTTAGTTACACAGCTAGAAAATTACTGAACTAGGCTTGAAACTCAGGTTTTTAAGATTCTAGAACTCAGGTTCTCAAACAACATACTATATTGCTATGAAATTAAATTTCAGCATCTTTTATATATGTTGTAACAATTTTTCTCTGACGAAAGGGAGTGAGGGTAAAGGTGAACTGAAATGTTTACCCAGCTGGCTTTTTACAATGGATTGAAGAATTTACCTGTGTTCTTTCACAGAGAAGCTTGGCACTCCAAACAAATCCCCTAGAAGATCATTTGAACAATATACAATATGCTGTTGCTTCTCATCATATAATCGTTTGTTCATAATATACTGGCCAAGATAAAATATAACCTGAAAAAAAATATGATTTGAGCATTGAAGAAAATTAAATGTTAGTTTCAAATACATTTCAATATCTCACTTATTTGAAGAAGCTTAAACAACTATCAGCCATTTACAACCATCTAGTATAACCTTTCAGTACTATTAAAAAAAAAAAAACTTTTATATCTTTTCCTTTTAATTTGATGGAAGCAGATGATGCTTCTCTGATTTAGTTAAATAAACCTTAAAATGTATTTTTTGTTCCCAGACTTTAACGCTGCCCAAATATCTAGGTACTACATATTAGGAAGAAGGGAAACAGCAGTCAAATGCAAAACGACTGATAGCAATAAAAAACAAAAACAAAAATATCACCTAAAATATAGCAGTGATCTGAAGTCATGTAGTAAATTATCTCAACACCATATACCTCAATAGCCTCTGAGATCATCACAGATAAGCAAGATAGGAAAATAACCAATTACTTCTACAGTTTGAGAGAATTTAGTGAATAAAATAAGCCCTTGAAGATATCAATATAATCTATACAATAATAATCAAAATAATGACCCTGAATCATGCACATACAGATAAATTACATTCTACATACTCTGTTAATAAGTAGGCAATACATTTAAAGACATCCACATACAAATCTAATAACAATCATCTAAATTTGCATGGTGTTTTACGGTTTATAATGTACTTTTATAAGCACTATCTCATTCTTCTAACAGTTCATAGAAATGTTATCACCACAATAGAAATAAGAAAACTAACTCAGTCTTCTGACTCCTGGTCCAATGTCCTACTATCTCGTACTAGCTTTCATCACTCTCCCACATGTCCCCGAACAAAGATCCTACAACTGTAAACTCTATCAGACAATATATACATTACTGTTATATAACTTAGCATAAGCATTCCAAGTCTTTACGACGGCCTTGATCGACGTTCTTATTTTTAACTACTACTAAGTCCCTTTTTTGTTTCCTTAATTGATTATGTAATGGTAGTTAAGGTCAAACCCAAGTTAACAACCCTGACAACGTCCTTTACCTTGACATTTCTCTGCAAGCACTGTCTATAGACTTAACAGGCTAAGCAGACTTCAGACTTAAATAATTCCTCCATGACTATGGATTGGAGAGATGGCTGACAATGAGAAAAGAGGAAGAAAGAGAACCTAGATTCCTTTTTACCAAACATCCCATAAGGAAGTTTACAAAAGTGTGGCTGAAAAAGAAAAGGTTCTGGATTCTCTTCCTGCCCCACTATCCCAAGGTAGGTAAGGTACTTTAGTGTTTTAAGAAATCTGAGCCCCGTAAACTAAGTGGGAGAGAAGAGGCACATTTCGCTCACATTGAAATTTTGCCTAAGATGACTTAATTCCTCACTGAAAATCGTGCTTCTGTGTACAAATTTAAAGCTAGAGAACAATACATGGAAATGCATCCACTAAATAAAACATATGTTCATGAATCAGTTCACCTCTGTCCCAGAAAGAACAGTATACTGTACTCATGTATCTCTAGTATAGAGGTTCTTAACCTGGGATCCATGGACGCCCAAGAAGTCTTTGGAAAGAATTCAGGAGGTCCATTAATTTTGAAGGGAAACAAAGTTTTGCCACCTCAAAAACTGTGCCTTTTGGGATACTGATTTCAAATTGATTATTAAAAACATCATAAAGACTCAGAAAGAACCTTTGACACACACACTCCTTTCCTGCCTAAGAGATTCAGAGGGAAAAACCTGTGTCCCATTATTTCTGGGTTGCCTAGCAAAAATTTACTTGCCATGTAAATTCTGCTTCTCATCAACTACCTGTCAACTGCCTACTTCCTCTGAAATCTCAGGTCCCTACCCTCTCTTCTCCTTTGATTAAAATGACATATGTACCCAATTTTACTTCACTGTCTTTGGAATTCTCATGCTTGTATGAATTCTCCATGTGCATGTATTTTGATTTTCTCCTGTTAATCTCCTGTTAATCTGTTAATTTGATTATTAGCCTAACTAGAAGAACTTAGAAGGAAAAGTATTAATTTTTAGCCCCTAGAATTTAGATGAAAAAAAAAAAATCTTTATTTTTTACTAATTTTGAACTGAAAATTAGCTTCTCCTTCCATTACTAATATAGGCAAAAAACAAAGTATTAGCAATACCTGTGATTATTTCATCAACAAGAATCACAAGTGTGACATAGTATTCGTCATACTATGCTTGATGCAAACATTCCAAAATATCCACTATACTCCTCACTACTTCAAAATTTTATTAGATCTACTACAAAATCTACAAACTAGATTACTATTCTGGTAACTGTATTTTAATGTTTCCTTTCTTTCTAATCCCATTTATTTCATGTAGTTAAAAACATAATTCTGAGAAATTAGCAGTCTGAGAAGACTTCACCTTTCTGCCTAGTAGGTTCATCTACAGAGCTTCCCTTTGTCTCAGTTTCTAGCTGAGAAATGAAACTCAGTGTAATTAACATTTTCAGCCTCAAATTCTAGTCCAAATTGTCATAATACTTAATACCATTGTTTACTGAAAATCCCTCTATCTGGCCAATTTCTCCCCATGGCTATACATAAGTAATAAGACATTAGTTACCATGTTAACTCTTAGTTCAGCTTACCTCTTTCATAGTGTAAGTGTCTTTTTGTGCACCAACAGATTTCAACAACTTCAAAAGTAATGGCTTTGGTCTAACCTATAAAGAACAAAGAGTTGCTATTATACTTCCAAAATTATTACAGAACTATAAACCCCACAGCAAACACATCCATAAAATAGTTCAATAAAGGGAGCACACACCACACTTAACAATCCCACAAGGTTAGAATTCAAAAAGTCATAATGTTTTCACTAAATGTAATAGAATATTTAAATAGAGTATCACAGACTGTCTAGAGAGTCTAGAAAAAAAATACTGGGACCTAATTATTATGCAAATAGCCACAGACTCCTCAAGCATCATCAGTTGCCATCAAAAGAGTATCCAAGACAGTGCCAGTTATTCTTTTTTCCTCTAGCTATTTCTGTCATTTGTTTACTACCTGACAAACTCAACCATAAATGGAATAGTCCAATAGTCTTACTGTAAACTAAATTACAAAATCCAAGAAAAAAGAATAAATCTTTAGTGTGGGGCCTTTTACCAATCTCTTTCTTCTACAGATTAGGTTCCTGAAAAATGGAGAACTTAAATAACTAACCCAAGCTGACAAAAATAGTTAAAGAGATCTGAGACGGCAACTCATGTCCCTCAACTACAAGCTACCATTTTCTTCCTACTATATCATGCTGCCTTAATTGGTCTCCATTTCAAGTATCTACTTGATAAACATTTACTGAACTTCTACTATGCACCACAGAGTAAAAGGAATTGCAAAAAAAAAAAAAAAAAGACAAAAACATATGACCTGTATTCAAGGAGTCAGAAAACTAGACCAAGACTAGACAGTAAATATTTTAAGCCTTTCCTGCCAGATGACCTGACTCAGAAGCATAAATATCATCTAAACCAAGTGTGGGTGCATTTCAATAAAGTTTCATTTCTAAAAATAGGCAGCAGGCCAAATTTAGCCCATAGGCTATAATTTGTCTAATGCTGATCTAGAGGCTTTACAAGTGGTATTGAGAAAATATAACTGGCAAGGGGGCAGGAACATGTGCTTATGTTTTCTATCTGTTGCTGTATCAAAATCTTCAAAACTCAAGTATGCTTACAGCTTGCCACCTCCACACAGACTCATTCCTCTGCACCTCTTTAATATACTACTGTCTTTTGTCTAACTTTGAAATCTGACAGCATCCCAGTTTGAGATCTAAATCTCAAAACTAAATTTAAGAAAAGTGCTTATTTCCAGCTAATTAACAGAATATTGTTTAATAACTATAAAACTTAAAAAACACAATAAAGTATTATTGAATCATTAATTGTTCTTGATTACATTTTTGTGCTTACATATGTGCTTTACGTTCAAGCTATTTAAAGAATGAACTCTCAGAAAATTATTTTCTTCTAAAATTTTATATATTTTATATTAACTTCAAATTACATAGACCTGAAAGTAAAAAAGCAACAAAAGCATCATTTCTTTACTAAAACATGCATTAATAAAAATAACTTCTATAAAAGATAATACCATACTTAATCTTATACTTGAGAACAAAAAGATAAATTCCAGATAAAGATCTAGATTAAAAATAAGAATACGGGAAGAAAATACATAAATATATTTGCATAATCTTGGGATGGGAGTTCTTCCAAAGCATGATATGAAATTCAAATGCCAACAAGTCAACAAATTTGACTTCATAAAGTCAACTGGAAAATGACAACATAAAGGCAAAAAAATTATTAAGAAAAAGACAATACACCTAAAAGGAAATTGGACAGATAAAACCAGGCAAATCCCAGAAGAAACAAATGATTTAACTATCCACGAGATACCCAACCTCACCGGAGACTGGGGAAATACAAATTGAGACAATGACATAATACCTTTTACAAAAAAAAATGGCAAAATAATAATAAAGATTGATAATATTCACTGTTGACTGAGGTGAAAACTTAAAATCTTTTGGTAAGCTAGCAAGTTGTGAGCAGCGATCAAACGTATATATTTTAGGACCCATTAGTTCTCCTACAATAAAATCTTTCTTACAGAAATACATAACAGTTGCGTTAGGATACATATACTCAAAGCAGCCCTATTTGTAATACTCGAAAACTAGAGGCGATTAAAACTATCAGTAAGGATATAAATTTTTTCAATGGTATACTGTTAGGAAATACTATGCAGCCATTAAAAAAGAACTCTAGATTTTATTTATTGACATGGATGCAATGTGCAGAACATCTCTAGTTTAATCTTGTTTTAGTAGAACAAACAGGAGAGTAAGAGATTAAAATTCACATATGCATAATATATGTGGGTATATACATACGAGATCTAAGACATGGTCAAAAAAGACTAGAATTTTCAGTTTTTACTTTCTACATTTCTGTAATGCCTAAACTCTTCACAAGCATTAATTACTTTTGTGACATTTAGAAATCATTTAAAAGTTAAATACTAACAAGTCAAAACATAAAAAAACTCACATAATAAACGTCAGTATCCATGCTTAAGAGTGTATGGAACTCACTTTTAAAATCAGTGTGATGAAGAGCTAAGAAAATACTGCTCCTTAAAGTTAACTTTTACTCCACACAGTAATGCCTATGTACACACAATTTCACTTAGAGTCATGCTATAATTGGGGGTCTATGGAATTTAGTTGATCACCTCATAAATTATTTTTAAAAGCCACCCTTGAGACAAAAATACCAACCAGGGTCTCTTGCTCTGAAGCTGGAATCTGTGAGGTGCTTACAGCACCATCAGTAGACACAGACATGCTGGTATTGCACATTTGCCTAAGAGTAGGGAAAAAATAAAACACGATAAAAACTTAAAATCATGAAACGTCTGTGAAAAAGACAAAATCACATAGTAAGGAGATAAATAATAACTTTAAATAATGCCTTTATTAAAAAGTAAAGCCATAAGCAAGTGGGTCCTTACCTGGATCACTACAGAATGAGTGCCGTACGCCAGTGACTACAGTGAATACAGCTGGGAAAAAGGCTTGGTTTAAATAGCCCCAGCTGGAGACAAGTCAGGGCTTAGCTCCTTTTACTGCAGACTCGGAACGTGTCCGAACTTGACCAGCCCAAGAGGAAAAGCTGAGTCAACCTACCCACAGAACCAGCCCAATCTCGCCCAGACTCGGCGCCTGGTTCAGACTGGCTATAGAACAGGCACCTGTCATTATTCCAACCCCCGGCTTGGAAGTCACCTGGGGGGCTCCGCAGCACCCCCGCCCACGTGACCTTTACCCCAAGACGCCAGCGGAGCCCCCCGCCCACCCGGAGCGCGGCCCGAAATCCCGCCCTCGCCTCAGGCGGCAGTAAGCTCGTCCCCTTCCAACAGAACTTCCACAAATCCATGTGCTCCTCACCCCCCATTCCCAAATGCACAAAGGCTGCGAGCGGAGAAGAAGCTGGAAAGGACAGCGAGCTGGAAGACGCAAGTCACAGAGCAAACCCAGAACTGCCCACTCGCTTCCCAGCCGATCCATGCTCCTCACTGAGCGGGGATTTCCGCGCCTGGCGTGGGGTGGGGGTCGCCAAGCTCCCTTCACGGGCGCGCGGAAGCCCGACACCCTGGGCCTCGGCGATTATTCCACTCGCTGGGCCCAGGCAACTAGGGCGCTCGAACTTACTAGGTCAGGAGAGGGTGGCTTCTGGCGGCGGAAGCGGCAGGACCTCGGTCCGAAGACTTAGGGCTGCCCGTCAGGCTCGGCTTCTTGCTCCATTTTTCTTCTACACACACAGGCCCGCACATGCCCCGACAGGAGCCGCGCGGGCCGAGGTGCACCCAACTGGCGACCCCTACCGCCCGAGGGGAGCGCGCCGGAAGCCGCGGCCCATCCGGGCTCTTGCGCGCGAGTGCGCGCGCGCGCGAGCAGGACCTGCCGCCTCCGCCAATTGGGGCCGGGGGCTGGGCCGGCCGGTTCCACGAAGGGGGCGGTCTGGGAGCTCTGCGGCCTGGGCGGGGGAAGGGGCTGCTTGTCGCGCAGAACTGGCCTCAAGGCCGGAGTTCCTGGCAGGGGGCGGGTGATGCCCTGCCTACCACAGCCTCGTTTGGCGCTGGACGCTTGGAACTCCTTTTTTCGTCGTGCTATTTTTGTATTTCTTGTGTTTACACCTCCCGACAGCGGTGGAAACTGCAGGCAAATGCGTATCTAAGTGCCTCTACCAAAAAAAGAAACCAAAATTAACAGCTGTGCGCTATATTAAATCCACACTGCCAGCCGCTGAAGTTGTATACAAATGAGTTATAGCAAGACGTTTTTTGAGAATATGATTTAAAAGAGCACAATATGGGCTTGTACACGGATACATACAAATGTTATAGTTGAAGGAATAAAAGACGGGTTGA